GTCTTTCTTTGCTCAAACCACGAAAGAGTTGTCTGCAGTGCATCGTAAACATCTGATGTCCTTTGACGAGGTTTTAGATACTTCTCAATGGCGATTTGATTTTCGTCCTACACAAAAATAAAATCGCTTCATTATCTACTTATTGAACTAAATGTTAGAAAATAATATTTGGATACACATATCACAAATGCATAGTTTAACACATTTATGCACTTTAGTTCGAGGTGTTTGCTTAGCAACCGATCAGAAAATGATCGCAACGTTTGATTACTGATACATGACGAAGTAAGCAAATTTACGAACGTAAAAGGTGAATATGTTCACATTGTCAACGGCTGATGCACTCGATTTTGCAGCAGTCTTTGAAGATGCAGCGGAAGAGTTACATATCCTTGGTAAATTAGTACCTTCACACTATCAATACACCGCAGCATCGGATGAGGTTAGTCATTTTGAATATGAGCTTTTAATTTGCAAATATTTTCTTGATTAAAGATTGTACGAAATCAAGTGGGACGTGTACTGAGTGCGCAAAATCGAACTGAAGACATTTACGATGCTCAAATCACACAACGAAGTCAATTACAAAGGGATCGAGCCGATGAAGAATTCCAACAGCCCGAAGCAAAAGAAAGTCAAAGATTAATGGAAGAACTCAGTAATGAATTGAAGAAAACCACATCAGATTTGAAAACTGGCGTCAATAAAATCAATCGAATGTTCAATCAAAACCCGCTTACAGCAGACAACATGAAAAAAGTTGAAAAAGATCGGTAAGCATGTTTTCAAACCGTAATAACAAGTCGTGACATCACATATTGTAATTATTTCATAAAAATACATTTTACAGCTTAATAATTACAACGAACCAAAGAGTACGCAGAGATGATCCTGTGATTTAATGCTTAAAAATACACTCATATTGTTTATTACTAATTTTTTAGTACTTATTTCGAGAAATTATTGACAAAATCAATTCTCGCTCTCAATGATCACAAATCGATTGAACCGCTGAAAATGATGATCGAAGAAGAACAAGAATCCAAAAACACATTTCTTCGTGTTGTTCAAAGGTATCTATCGTTGATTGTCAAACTTTTATATTTTATCTTCTCGAAGCCTAAGAGTCACGTTTTGAGTAATTACAACATTTCTATTCATTCATTGTGCCGATAGTGGTCAGGAAGGAAGCATTAAGTTGAATTGTAAGATTTCGAACTGGTGTGCAACACTATGTGTGAATATTAAAAGCTAATCAGGCGTTGGCTGTGCAACATTCCTTCAATTTACTCTCCATTCTTTTAGATTTACTTGAAAATGGCGTGAAGAGTATTCATGTGAGAAAAAGTTGTTAATTTTGCCGAACAATTTTGTTTTGTTTATCATTTAAGGCAAATGTTAACTATATTTTTCTTGAAATTTAGTGAAGAGGAAAGTCGCCAACGGATCAAAGACTTGACTCAACAAATTCAAAGTGTTCGTCAAGAGAAAATCACGGAATTAGCCAAACGTGCCGAGGTTATAGCGTATCAAAAAGATCAATTGCAAGAAGCAAAAGCCAAGGCTCAACTAGAAATCACATACGAGAAGAAAAAATGCGAAAATTATCTCGAGCAAGTCCGCGCACGTTGTGCCATTGCAGAGCACGAAATGCGACGAGATCAAGATGTAATTTGTTCTTCTCAAAATATATTCATCGTTTCTCTTCTTGTTCAGTCTTTAGAAAACCGTACGGAAGATGAAATGAAATCGAATTCGGAAACTGAAAACTACTTGCGTGTTTATATTAAAGTATTTCTCGAATTTTTTTTTCCTTTAGAATTCCTCTGTTGTTCTAGGAAACAATTCAAAAAACAGACAACTGGTTGGAGAAATACAACTCAGAAACAGCTGACATGCAAACTAGGCTCGATAAATTAAAAGCAGCACGGGCAGCTGACTTGGCTGCATATCAAAAGATTGCCGCCGATGTAAGAGAAGAAATAAATGAAGTTCCGGACATTATTTTATTGATCAAACTGTTTTGTCTTTATTTTCTTAGTTCACATTGTATGAAAAAGTTGTTCGAGAAGATCGAGCAGAGAAAGAACGTCGTCGTCGACAGTTAGAACGTGAGCAACAACAAATGTTTGCTGCGATTAAAATACAATCATGGTGGCGAGGAATGCTTGTTAGAAATGCTATTGGACCATACAAGAAGAAAAAAGGGAAAAAAGGAAAAAAGAAGAAGAAATAGTCGACCAAACCTTCGATACAGTTTTTTTTTCTATTCGTCTGTTTTTCTTATTTTTTATTTTGCAAAATAAAAACATCATTTTCTCCTATTGACAAAAGATAGTTCGTGTAAAAGATCTCGAATTAAATAACAATCAACATGAGTATGGAGAAAGGAAAATTTTGTCCCGGAAAAGAACGACAAGGTTCTTGTCAGTAAAAATGTGTTGAAAGTAATAGTTATAGTTCCTTTTCTTCTCCGTCTTTTTGATTATATAGATAAAGCTGATCGTGTCATTTTTCTTTTCATCATACTCATGCGTGGTAAGAATGTCACTTGAGTTGACATTTACATTCATCAGATGGTACGGAGAGTAAGAGAAACGAACAATTTTCTCAGTAATTAAGCTATACACAAAAATGTTCATGCAAATTGACTGAGTAAGGAACATATTTGCATTGGAAAACAAGAAATTCTTTGTTTTCCTTGTTCAGGTGACATTTAATATTGATCTATCACAACACTAGTTGACATGACAGATGGTTAAATATTATCAATCGACAGATTATTTCACCGACGTCAATTTGCAATCGTGTTGTTTGAAAATTCAACATTACTTTTTTTGTCGTATACTCGCCAACTTCTGATGAGATGTTTGTGCGAAGAATGTTCAGATGCTTTATTTCATATTCTCAATTATCCATCACGAACCAGAAATGTCATTTGATTTTCGAGCTCTGTTTTTCAATGAATATTATTGTCATCGACATAGATCATTTCTCACAATGTTGTCTATATTGACCCTTATAATCTTAATACTCTAAGATTAGCGTTGCCAAGTTAAGATTAGAAATTAAATTGTTTTTCTTTTCTTTTAGATTTTCACTAGAAACAACATCAAAATGTCTGACGACAGTGCATCTATTAAAACATGTTTACGAATGGTCACGTATCTGCTGGACTACTGCGCGAATGGTTCGACAAGTAACAATGAAACATGTAAACATATCGATACCATCGCACGTGTTGTCACCGTTGATTGTTATATGAATCAAACAGTTTACCCGTACGTTGTTTTATTTATTCTTCTCGTTGGTACAATCTTGAATTTACTTTCTCTGTATTGCTTTCTGAAAACAAACAAACGCAATTCACAGAATGTTTATTTGTCTGCGTTATCACTCGGCGATACGATTAATTTACATATTAACTTCGGCTTACCGATGCTGAGGAAATTCGATGCGTTTGATACGGCATTCCGTCAGTATGTTATCGTATGTCGATTAACTGGTATTCTGACAGAGTTTTTTCTTATTTTTCCAACATGGATTGTTGTTTTGCTGACAATTGAGCGTTTAGTTACTATTTCATGGCCAACAAGAAACCGTCCTGCTTATACTCAAACTCAAGCGATTATTTCGGTTATGACTTTAGTTATTTGCGTGTTTCTTCTAAGCTTATATCGTTTATCTGATTTGAAAGGAATCGATCAGTTGAGCGTTTTTTCTATTACAGCATGCAGTGATGGTAATGATTCATTCGAATGGGTAAGAAACGTCAATTTAATCATCTGGACGATTTTACCGGAATGCTTAACATTCCTTATGAGCTTAATTATCATTTATCAGATAAAATCTGTAACGAGAAACATGCATTCGAACTCCTCGAAAGTCCATCGATCTCAATACAATCAAGCGACAAAAACTGTTCTTCTAATTGCAATTTTATTTCTACTTTTTCACACACCGACAGGTAGATTCGATTTTTCGAATTCTATTTCTCACGATAATTCTATTGTTGTGATTAGGGATTACGATTGCTCTGGACTTGGTTTTGAAATCGAGGGAAGATGTAGCAACGCTGGTAATCATTCATTTCTCAAGAAAAATAACCATGATTCTCTACGAAATCAGTTTATCATCGAAATTTTTTATCTACAATCGAACGTTTCGAAATTTCACGTAAGTTTCCTATATATTACATTCATAATGGATTGATTATTCATGTATTCATTGCTGTTGCCTATTGCTTCATCAAGCATAAAAACTAATTGCTCATTGTTTTGTTTCCTAGGGGAATCTTATCTACTACGGCATTACATTTTACACATAAACGAAATTCTGCGAAGCTCGGTCGACCTGCCTTGACACATCCACCAAGGAGTTCCACTCCTCCGAAAATTCAATTTAATTCTCAACATAAACAGTCGATTACATCTCCAGTTAGTCAAAGCGACTCTTATGTGAAGCATGGTGTGGGTGGCGGCGGAGGCGCTGGAGGGATATGTGAACATCAATCTATGTTAATTAATCGTCATCCTCAAACGATTTCAACTAATCTATCTCGAAACCTACGCGATCAACAGCTATTCAATGTAACGATGTCGAAAACGAAAACGAATGAAGCATGTATCGCGTTATTGCGACGAACAGATTTGTACAAAGGTTAGATTGAAGAGAAAGACGAGAAAATATTTTTAAAATCGGGTAAATTTAAAATAAGTAATTGAAATTTGATGTGATTCATTGGTTCGCCTATTCGTATTTTTAACTATTGTAAATAAATTTCATTCTTTTTAAGAATATTGTTCGTAACTAACTTAATCAAATGAGTAATAGAATAGAATCGAAGAAGAGGAAGAATGAGAAACTCTATATGTCGAGAATTGTGAAGAGAAATAACCTTCAACATTCACATACGATCTTCATTCGAAACTGTCCTTCGGTTTGAACAGGTTTTACTTTATTCATTCTTTCACACACTTTCATTCTTTGTGTCCCTTTGATTATTCAGGGAATTGCCAATAGGTGCAGTCACTAGATTGTAAGTCATTGTAAGTTTGATCTGTTGATTGAGTTACATAAGCATCCATTGTTTGTGTGTTGCGGAAATCTTCTTTCGAAGATAGAAGCTTTTGTCGTGGTGTGGAACATCGTTTGGGACTTAGTGCTCGTTGTAAAACAACATCATCATTTAATGGTCGTTTGATACATGCCGAGAAACATTCTTCTTTAGAATTCCGTTGCCGTTCGTTTTCTCGGAATGATTGAAGAATATAGTTGTAAATTGAAGGAGACTGTCGTGGTGACGACGGAGATGGTGACAAGGTCGTTGTTGAACGACGTATTGTTTGTTGAGTTGACCATGTTGGTGAGGAAAAAGAACGACTCATTGGCGCTGTTTTTTTTCGTTTAGGTTCTTCTAGATAAGCATAGCGATAGATAAGATCAGGTGCTGGAACAATTGGATCAACTCGCTCATATTTGCGTAACCAAGTATAGGGTAGTAATGTTGACTTGGGCCGAGTGAATGTATTAAGATTTGACTGATCGGTGCGCGACGTTGGTGATCGTTGTTGTGTAGAACGTATTTTTGCCGATGGACTTCGTGAAGATTGTTGATTACTGCTTACTTGTTCATTTGGAAATATCGGTGAAAAGATTCTCGGTGAAAACGAATATTTATCACGAAGATCTTCAATGGTATTGATATCATTAGCTGTGATCATTTTTTACTCCTTTATTCGTTGAATGCAAGTAACAAGAAAAAGAATAATTAACGAATCTAAACTTGCACTTCATTCTTTGTTGTTAGCTACTTGAATTACAAGTGTTCTGTACACTGGAGATAATTACTAACCTATCTTAATTCCATTTTGAAAGAAAATATTTCTACATTTAATCGTGTTATTTCAATAGCTGACAACGTTTTGAGATATTTCGCACAAATTCTTGCTGTGTTTTCGTTTACTTTTCAAATTATTGGCAATGTCAACGAACCTTTCGTTGAATTATTTTGCTATTTGACAGGTAAACTTTGATTTCAACGATGTGAATTCCATCTGTCATCCATACATCGTGGGAATCGTCAGCATAACGTCTTTCTCTTGAGACATCTTATTCAAGTGGAAAGATTACTTCTCATGGTCGTCTGTCGTCAAGAATAAATAAGTATCATTAAATTCAGATAACTGAACATTGGATAGATTCGTTTTTTTTGCTTCTCTCTCTCTCTCTTCCATCAAATGATTCTATTCGTCTCTCATCATTCATTGCCATGATAATAATCATCATGTTCTCCTCTTTTTCTTCTTCTGACCTTATGTCAACAATATTCACATAGACAAAAGTAAGGTGAAAAAGCGAAGAGTAACACATATAATACCAACGAGAAGAACACAAAGAAGAAGAAGAAAAAGAATTCACTATTGTTGCTATACTTATGATTCTAATACAATCTTTAACTTATTCGTTGACAATCTTTCTCTTCGTTTTTTTTTGTAATTCTAGAAAAAAAGAACGACGTAGAAAAGCAATCATCAGTGATCGTCGTCATCGGTAAACTTTGAAACAACAAAAATAAGACATCAAAACATAGTTTGATTCATTCATTTGAATCTTTTGCGTTATGTTATTTGTAAATTCGTTTTGAATAACATTCGCCAGGTTTTTGTACTCTTTCGTCTTCAAATGTAAGATCACAGATTTGTAATAGTTTTTCTCTATTTGCATTGACATACATCTATGTAGATGCCAACTTCCAGTCAATCACAAATTCTTTCTGTTGTTGATGGACAATTACTTCAACATCAGCAGCAACAAAAAGCGAGTGGACAAACTCGAACGAATAAGTCACCCGTCCGGGCATTGGCAAATCAAACCGGAGTTTCGGAACTAAGACGTCGTTCGATCAAAGAAGATCGTCGTCCATCAATAAGTCAAAGATACAACGATGAAGATCATTCTCCACCTCCTCCGAATGTAATCAATCGTCGACGAAGCTCCGACAAACCAACTGATGGTAAATAACAAACGACTAAGTTTCTTGTTGACTTGGAGAAAAACAGACAAATGAATTTTTTTCCAGTAAAGTTAAAAACGACTCGCAAATCTCAGAGACATTTGAGATGTATGCATCATGATCATCGGTATCCTTGTGTTCGTAGGGGTACGGTTATTCCTCGCTAAGCTTACGCTCTTCTTATCGTCATAAAACTTGTCCTTTGATTACGAGCTCTTTTTCTTGCAAATTCTCACATTTTCTTTACTGTTTATAATCAGGACGAGCATCTCAACGTGCTGATGTACTTCACATGCCTGTTATATATTTAAATAATGCTAGTAAGAATGAACCACGATCGAATAACAATGACAATCGGTCGAATCGAGCAGTAAATTCGTACGGACGAACAAAATCATCGTTCATTGACCCAGCGAGCGAACCCTATCGATTTCGTGGATATTCATTGAATTCGGAAAACGATGAACAATTGGAATATCTTCGTCGACTGAACCAAGCGAGACAATATCCAATCTCAGGCGAAAAGACATCTTCAGCATCGGATTTGGATAATGTTAATGAAGATGAAGATGATGAAAATGTGAATTATGAGCGACGAACAAGTTTATTGGATGATAATGCTCGTCGATTGCTTGTCTTGGGCACAATTCGCCCATCGAAAACGTTTTATAAGAACCTTCCAGATGCTGATGCCGAACATCTAATGGAATATTTCCGTCGAATGAAACAGACACAACAACGAATCTCATCGGAAGAGATTAACGAAGAATTAGCAACGAAAATCGTCGAATACAAACCGAAAATGTGTAAGTAACTGTTGTGCTACACGATGCAAATCAATTCAATTTCGTTCAAATTTAGTTTTCGACTCGGCTTGTGTCACTAAACATCAAGTGAGCAGCGTGGAGAAAATTGTGGAACAATATGCCGATGAAATCCGTGAACAAAAAGCTGAATTCGTTAAACTTGACAATCCCATGCGCTTCGTTATACGCGATGTTGATAGTGATAAACCTTTAACAACAATTCCACGTGAATATAACGATTGTTTTATAACACTTGTCACTCGATCAGATCCATTACGTAAATCAGAATTAATCGCTGAGCTTGTACCGCAGAACTTCTTAGAACAAGTCAAAGCGAATTCATTGGATATCAGGTAAGTCGATCCGATATGACATGTCGAGCTGCAATTCGATTCTTTTCTAGTTACTTTCCCGGTGGTGTTAATTACGATGTTCCACATGACGATATCGGTGAAAGCGGTCAGATGAAACTTGAAACTTATCAGAAATTGAAAAAACGATTGAACAATCGCAAAGTTTGGTATTTCAGTGAACCACCCGAAAAGCGACCTAATGCTTTATTAGCAATCATACCCTCGGAATCGATGATTACTATCGATCATCAAGTTTTATATGATAACTTATGTGATATATTGAGAACTGCTCCAAACGAACAACAAATTTTGTCGCTGGAGTATCTTCCGTTAAGTTGTATATTGAATTCACTTGATATATCGAATCAATTCATCATTGAATGTGATACGAATGAGACCAAACGACAATTGATGGAGAAACCGTTGAAGATCGTCTCGAATAAATGCTCTGTTCTGATTGAATTGCATTCGTATGATGAAGCAATTCAAAAAGAATATGAGAAATTCATCAAAGCTGAGAAATATCGAGAATTGGTTAAGAATCATGAAACAGCCGTAAAACGAACGTCAACGAAACAAAATTGACTCTATCGCATTGTCTTTTTCGTCTGTCTTCGTTTGATAATACTCGTGGATATATGAAAAAAAATACTAGTTTTATGTACCACTTTGGCTCATGATAATAAACAATACTTTGGTAATCGAGTGAATCAGCTTGATTAAAAAGAAAGACTCATTTACGAAAAAAAAGAGATGATTCAAGCGAAGAATAGAATGTATTTTGATGTCGGTTACTTCGTTGAATTATGCCAATATTCGTAAGCTCCGAGTTTTTTTATAACCATTCGGATGATATGTTCATGAGATGCATATAGATTATGGTTGCGATCAAGTTGAATCCATTGAACTGTACCTGCATCATCGCCTAGAAGAAAAAGCGCACAATCTAGTTTGAATTATTTCTTATGAAACATGTTTTTCGCAAAAAATTCTTGTACAAAAGTTCTTTCTTTCGGAAAATAAATGCTCTCAGTTATGTGAATTTGATAATGATCTGAAAGAATGACAAAACGTGATCGAACGAATCAAAAGAAAACGAACGAAAAACTGGTAGAAAATACCACACGAAATATTCCATCACCAGCAATCTCACGTACAAAATCTCTTATTAAACCACCGCCACCACGTTTATCTTGGGAACTTTTACTCGATGATTATTTGAAAGATCCAAGTTTTCAATCGGCAACAACACTCAATCCCTCTTCGCCTACTCTTCCAACTCCACCACCAACAGTCATACCCTCCTACTATCAATCATACTCACAATGTTTACCGTGTCAAACGCAACTCTATCTACCACCACGGCGGTATCAAATGGCGCTCGATGAACTCGTTCATCTAATCAGTCAAGTCGGCCGATGCGATTTATATCGTGAAATGGTACAATACATCAAAACTCAGCCTGCACCACTATCGTCAAATCCAAACGCATTTTCAGCGAAAAGATCAATTAATCAGTCACATGCTTCTAACAAGAAAAGAACAAAATACTAATGTACCAGCATGAAGTTCTAGATCTTTGGTTAATTCTCCAGTTTCATCATGCATAATCAAAGCTTCAGATTCCATCCATGCATTGTCTAAAAGTCAGACAAGAACAGAATGTTTTGTGAAATATCATTATAATCTGTGACCTGTATTTCTTGGATCATCGATATATCCTTTGTACATCTATAGGAAGAAAAAAGAACGTATTTACATGAGTAGCAGTCCGTGGATTCGAGGTTATATACTGAATTCGCTTTTCTAAATAATTTATCGAGATGTTTAGCACGATTCGCATCGGAATCCAAAGCTTCTTCAATGAATTCTCGTTTTACCGCCTGTGATGTACTTTCACTAAATAAGCAGCAATGTGAAAGCTATTTTTGGTAGATATACTCACCCAGGATCAACCATTCCTCCAGGTAAAGCTAAATCTCCGCTATCTTTACGACTGATGAGAATGATTTCTAAAACTTTCTCCTTGTGATCTTTAGCCCAACGAGTGACAATCGGATCAGCGGCATGATTAGGTCCCCAACGACCCAGTAAACCACGACCAGACACTAATAAGATAAATCTGTTCAGAATAAATAAGAGCAAAGTTTCCTACAAACATCCAGTTCGACCTTGAGGATTCTTTGGTCGATTTGTTTTCTCTTCAACTTCATACTTTCCCATGTAACTTCTCCGATCAATTTTTCCATCAATTTCATTGAAATACTTGATCTTTGTTCTATAAACAAAGGTATATACAGATACTTTACACCTTATCCTATGCCATCAACTGTACGCATCGGAATCATCAGCCCATGGTGGGTTTTTCAATACTTTTGACGCTGTATACTCTATTGCTTTGTACTCGGGCCAATGCAAGCTCCATGGCACTTTTTCATTGGACACTTCCGTTCTCTGAATGAGCACAGATTTACGACACATTTTACTAGAAACTATTTCTTACAAGAACATTTTTAGTGCCTACATATGGTGATTTGCGGGCTCTGGTGTGAACAAAATGCGTTGATATCTGCTGTACTGTATTTGTAACAAAACATCGAAAAATCAATTGAGAACATTGTTGTCGATAAGTAGCCAATATAGCCATCAGAACCGGAAGCAGAAATACAAGTTTTGACGGCAGTTTTAAAATGATAACTGATTCTAAAAAAAAAGTTCGACATGCATTTTATCGATGTTCCGAGCAGCTTGACCAACACTTTCTCAATAGCAGTTTATAGTGCAAATCTTTTTATTACCTATAAATCGAATAGCAAATAAAGAAGGATCATATCCATTCCAGTATGATAGCACAAAAAGATCAAGTTTTGGGAAAAGGGAAACAGCAGAATACAAAACACACAAAATCTCAAACTATACTAAATAACATCACCAGTGAACTGACCAGCTGCCTACAACACATTACAGTTCTTCATACTGAATCAGTTTCATAAAAATGGTCATTTCTTAGATGGAAGGACTGCTGCAGTTTTAGAAGGAGTGTAAAAATCACGACAACGTTCATAGAAGGCCTAAACAGAAAATCGAATTCTCGAATATCATAAAAAACTGTCTGCTTGATTTCTCACTTTTTCCGTATTTGTACGCACAATTTCTTCGACATTACGTTCATTGTGTAATTGACGTCGTTGAAATATCAATGCTTTTCGTTGCGCTTCGCTAATATCACTTTGCGCCATTAAATCGCTTGTGCGAGATAAACATGATGAAATGAGTTCATTTCGATAAGCTGTACGCGTTGCAATCTAAAAACTAAGTTATAATGAATGATAAAACACGAAAGCAGCTAAATATACTTCATCTCCCAGTTGTTGACATTGTTTGGTAGCATCAGAACCTTGAGATCGAAATGTAGCTGTAAGAACAGTTGTATTCAGTGTGTTGATTATTAAATCGTCTAGTTTTCGTAAATCTTTTAGATGATTTTGAAATTGAAGATAATCATCACAAATACGAAGATCTCTTGTATTAATGGATGGATTCATATTGAGTAAACTGTTTTCGTTTACAATAATCAAATTTTAGAAATATAATGAAAGGTAACAGCAAGGTGATGGTTAGATACTACAGTCAGTAAATGAATCGTTCGATTGGTCAATTGCTGCAATGCTGTGTGTGGCTTATTTATTGTTCCAATAGCGAAGTAGTATGAATCACATCGACACAACCGCTGTTTTTGTATCGCACCTTACTTGTACGTATAATATTGTAAGAACGCAAGTGAATCTTTCTTGTGTTTATATTCATATTCTCGTCAGCCTGCAGACATTAGTGACGGAGAGACTAAATGCCAATTTGATAATGAACGATGTCTGTTCTTCGATTATACATATATTGTGTAGAACATCTACTGGATTATGATATTCATCTGTAATGACGAAAGAATCAATGACTTCACGAGTCGGACCCGTTCGAAGGATTACTGCATCCACTTTCCATTGATTTCCTGTGCCTTCCTTCCGGGTGGAGTCCGCACTTTTCGACATGCGATCATATTGTGATCGATGATGTCTTGGCAATAAAATGTAATGAAGATAGGCATTATAATACGGATTCTTCTTTTTCCAAAACTTTGACAATCATATATATGCTATATTTAGGTTAGTATAAAACTGGCAAGGTGAATTTAATGAAAAACTATCTCATTCCTAGGACTTTGATTCGTTACAATATTGACACTAAAAATGAGCATGTTACACGGCAATATGTTCTGTTAATTTTGATTAATATCGCGTCAAAACCGATCTTCAAATTAAATAGTAAACAGAAAAATCTTTTAATAAATAACATAAATGAATTGAGTATGGGAATAAGCTTGTTTTCTGTAGATGAAGGTTGTACGTCTTTCATTCAAACCATGATCAACAACGACCGAAAACAAAGCATGAGTAGTTTTCTTCTATTAAGCAGCACATATGACTTCAAACAGTTCTTTCTTAGTTTTTTATTATTATTCAAATTTCATAATTTGGTGAAGTCATAGAGGTCAAATACATTAAAAACGGAGTGTACTAATAAAGTAATCAGTACGATTTGCGTCGCTATATAAATTAGTCACTGATGTTTTAAAATTCACTTTGAGTTAGTCTATCTACTTGAGACCACTGACAGGTTATTATACAAATGCATCTTCTTTCTGTCTGCTGTTGTTCGCCGTAAGTCGTATCTGCTTATCAAACGATAATGAAATCAGATTCTCACGTAATGTGTATTATGAAGATCAGTGTTTAATAGACGCAATATCAATATATATATATATATTTTTAAAATATGTTGTAGACTTTTTTGCTGCAATTTCTCTTTCAATATTTCATATAAAAGTCTAAAAATTGACTTTTAAATCATACCGAGATGATCGTCAAATGTATGAGTATTGATGTACAATGATGACTGATCAAATACATTTCAAAGTTCTCCTCATTCCCGATGAATATCATCATCATTCAACTACAGCTATGTTACATCTGAATAGAACTGTTTCAATCACAACTTTTCCTTTAATGTCAGTACGAAAAAACCAGTACACATGGCATTATTTCCTTTTGCTGGTGAAATAGAACTTTATTTGAAGTTTGGCTATATGCTATTTTATCTTTTAAGAAGAACAGTTGGATCAATATATAGAGATATTCGTTTATTCCTTCATCATTTCACTGTACTTCATATTTCAATGAACTAGAGAAAGTCGAATTGGCAACCTTACACTGTTCTCTCTCATAAGCATTCTCTCGTCGAATTGAATATTCGTGTTTTCGAACAAATTTTTGCTTTCAGTCATTACGGATACAATCTTGTTTGGCATAAAAATAGTATCAGACTGTATTTGAACTGTAATGCAGAACGTGAATTGTTTATTCGTGTTGATAAATAGCCGAGAGTTATCGTGAGTTGAAACTCTGTTTAATTACTTCGATAAAATTAGTAGTTTCGCGTGATAATGTAGACCAATGATTAAATATCCTGTTTGATTATAAAAATCCGTGAAGTGAACTTGTGTAGGTTAACTTAATGGATATTTATCAATGGCACACCTTTTGTTTCGAATATCTGTTCGTGGTTTCAATATAATTTAGCTGAAAATCATATGTTCAACAATAATAGCATTTCGAATGTCTTCCTTGTCATCCACGATGATAGCTATTCACAAAATCTAACCTTTTTAATGAACGATCTGTTCAGAGTTTGTAAAAAATTGAATCGAATAGTTGTTTTCGTGTTTAATAATTATATTTGGCAAGTAGAAACATCAGTGAAGATAACTTTGCATGTTTTACACTAAATCGGAAGCATGGAAAAACGAGATATTTTTTTCAGTTAGCTCCTTTAATTATTGATAGTCTTTCAATAAAAACATCCGCACCTTTTGTCGTAGAGATAGACATCTCTAACATAATAGATGATTTCTTCCGCTCGTGCTACATTCAAGGCAACGTTTGGACTATGAACTATTTAACATATAATACCGAATGATTCACAGTCTTATATTATCGGTAAGTTACTTCATCTAATCAAATCCAACTCATCAATTGAAAATCTTGTCTCATTGTCTGTCATTGGAGATTGAAAGAGACAAGTTTGTAATTTGATTTGAATCAAAACGATGTAATTTGGTCAAGTGATAAATTAGAGAGACGTAAAAACCAAGTAGGCGATTCAGTTTTAATTTTCACATTTTATCTTTGAAGATAAATCAAGCCGTCTATAATTAAAACTAGAGAGAAAGGAAAGAAAAGCTATGTTCAGCTAATTTATTTCATTAGATAGGTATATAAAAGAATGAATCTCATGTTAGTTCCATCCTACAGTTTGTTGAACAAATTGTCAATTTACATAGATATAGAAGCCGGAAATGTTTCCTCTGTTATGTTTTATTGTTGCTTCTGATATTCTTTCCAATTTTGAATTTTTAAATATTTTTCAGCATATCAATTCCGTTCATCCTTATTTTCTATCATGTCGAAAATCACACTTGTTCTATTCATGGTTTGCGTACAAATTGTTCTCATCAATTGTTATTCTCTAAATCATTTACAGGTAAGAAGTAGAATTTATGAGCAAAAGTAATTCGAAAGAAACATTATGTACTAGGGCAATCTTTGGTCGGATTTCGATTTGGAGCCAAAGGATGAATTTCTTGCTAAACTTTTACATACGGAGAACTTATTCCATGATGACAGTTCAGCATCTGAACCATTCGATGGTCGTGCACATGGATTACAAAAGCGTGGCCGACGTAAATTCTTTAATAAACTTTGAGAACTTTCTCAAAATAAAATATTTCTTTTTGTTTTTTAGAATGTTTATGGAAAGTATGTAGTTGGGCATTAGACAAACGTTCATCCTCATAAGATTCAATTGATGATCGATGAAAAATCTTTTACATTTTATTTACGTTTTCCTCGTTTGATCACTCGATGTCTTTTGTTTGTATGATCAAATTCTAATAAAAGAAAACAATGAAGATGTCCTATCTAACAAAGAAGTGTATTTGTTTGAATAAATTTTTCAGTATTGGCATTTATACGTGCGGTACGTGCTGATGGTGGCCGAGAGAGACTCAATTTCGATGTAGATTTGTCATGCTGCCCACTTGGCTGCGATTGACGTGATGTTAACGGTGGAGGTGATGGACTTAAACCTTGTCGGTGACGATCTCGTAAAATTCTTCTGACAGTCGGTAGATTTGCAATCTGAGTATTACGTTCGAGTTTTCTTAAGAATTCATTTTCAATCCGCGTATGTTCTTTCATTTGAATCGTATGAGCTTGAGAGAGGAGTTTCTCTTTACATTGATGTTGTCGTTTGGCAATATCGAGAAGATCGAATGTTAAACGAGTTCGATGTGAATCACGCAAGAAATCGGCATAATGATCAACTGCATAATCATCGCGATCGACATGTGTAGCTTTGGTTGTAAACGACATTCGATATTGACGTGCAAGTGTGAAGAAATGAATTGAAAAGAAGAGCAAAATGTGTTACATCTACTACAGTGAAAAAATACGAGAAAAGAAGAAAGAAATCAATTGAAGTTAGAACTTTTGGAAAGAAAACAACCGTATGAGTAAATATTGTTGTTACTTGTGTAAACTAATAAGAAGAAAAACTCACGAAGGCTATTTAGTTTTGACAAATTGAGAAAGAAAAGAATTCGATCAAGGTGAAAAATCGAGAGTGAAGAAATCTCTTCTCTTCGCTTCATGTTCAAGATGGTTTGTGAACTTGAACAAGAAAACATCAGAGTTTTTCTCTGCTTCTTAGTGACATGAACTGTAAAAATTCAAGATTTTTATTCAGAACAATGTCATGATTGTGAGTTGAAATAAGTCAAAATCAAAATAGAGTTTCAGTGAATAATCATGTCCTAACAAAATTTATTTATAATTATCCGATCAAAGCTACATTGTATAATAGAATAAATTGCAGACAGAGAATGTACATAGAAGATTTCATTTTCGATTTTTGAGATATTTTCGACGAATGACTTGAATTTCCTTGCTAATTTTTTCATAGATTTTCTCGTTGGGATTCTCGTCGACCTAAGAAATGAAAATTCTAATGAATGAAAAAGAATAGACAGACAAATTACATGTTCTTTGATAAATGGATCAATATGACGAAGAGAAATTTTTGTACGACTTGGTTTATTACTGACTAAGTATTGCATTATTTTCGGATATTGAGGCAGATGCTGAAGATATCCGTTGTGACGAGCTTGTCGATCAATAATAGATTCGATCATCAATTGCGACATTCGTATGCGCATCGGAGACTTGTTAGTCTGATCTTCTTCACTATCATCATCAGTATTCGATGCTTCATTTGAGTCTATGAATCCCAAAGATAACCATTGATATGCAACAAGAATTTCTAAATGCTACTCTTTTCAATACACCATACCATTATCTTCCTGATTGACAGTCGTTTCATCATCTAAAATAACAAAAATCGTAAGGGAGTACAAAATGATGATCCTTACTTGATCCTTCAGCGCTTGCGTCATCTAATAAGAAGGAATGTGAAAGAATGTTTCTGAAAGCAAAATTTGATTTACCTTCATCGGATATCTGATCAACATATCCGACTGCATCTTCATTGATTTTCTGTACAATATTCATAAATCTTTCTTTCAAATCAGTCAATCTTGCTGATAAAACTCGAATATCTCTTCGAACTTGTTCATCTTTAATCGAATCCGTATTATCATCAATATTATGATTATGATTTTCCTCTTGAACGTAACCAAAAAATCTCTATTAATGTGTATCATCATATCAAACTTACTAATTATTTCTCTGGATGAACTCATCTGTAAACAAAGAAGAAAAACAAAACGAATATATCCGGAAAATTTCAGTTTAATATATAGAGTTTTATTCTTTAAATAAATCAAAACAATAACAAGTTAGTAATGTTCTTTTCTTTTCTCATGGATAAGATGAAATTTATGATGATCGTTTATCTTCTTTTAGCGTTACGGTTCGATTCATTACATACTAAAAAAAGAAAGATGTGGATCGAATATCGTTGTTTACAAAGATTTTTTTCTCTTTTACATGATCATTCGTTGAATCGGGATCAACGCTGAAGAATCCAATACGTTCGAATTGAAATTTATCGAAATGTTTTGCGTTTTTGATACCATCATCCACGAGAGCATCGGAGTGGATTGTCAACGATTTCTAAACGAACGAACGCAATCAAATTTCTAAAGATAATATCATGACATCACATACAGAGTTAATATCCGAAAGAAAACCACCGGGAACTTCTTTCTTATCATCGGGATTTTGATGAAGAAAACTAAAAATGATAATTTTCAGAGAAAAAAAATATTATAAATAGGAAACAAGATGAAAGTACTTACAGTCGGTCATAAAGACGGATTTCACATTTATTTCCGTGGGATACCCAATGAATATAACCTTTTGGTTTGGTTACACCTTCATCAGTAACTTTGGCGCAAGTTACTTTCAATTCGATTGGCTCGTTGTTGGCATCCTAAATGGAAATTATCGTGTTGTATTTTATCAGCGTAGATATTGTTTACTCACGCGGATAATTTCTTGAACTGTAAGAACACAATTAGCATGGCGTAATCCACAGGGTTGATTAGGTGCTAAACGTTTATAATCTTTCGCAGGGTTCTAAATATAAAGACTTTCTGATGAAGAATCTAGTTGCTTTTCTTTCTTACTTCTGTAAAATCTGATTTTTCAATATAAATAACTGAATCGAATTTGATCTTATGCGATCCTCGAGATTCATCAGCTGGAAAGTTCGGTACAGTTAATTCTGTAACGCCCGTACTTGGAAAATTTGTAATAGTCACTTTCAATGGTTCCATAACAGCCATAATTCTTAAGAAACAAATAATTAACGTTTCAAAACTTCTCTTTCATCTTACCGAGGTGCGGTAACATTCAACACTTCACGTACACACGCATCAAGCATATCCGGATGAAGTATGGTCTGAGACATTGTAACACCAATACGTGCACAAAATAGATTGATTGCTTCAGGTGGAAAACCTCGTCGTCGCAATGCAGTTAAAGTGTATAAACGTGGATCATCCCAATCGCTGCATTTTCGAAGAATAAAAAACAATATTTTCGATCGTACCGCTCATCATTCTTACTTGACAATTCCTTCGGTAATTAGTTTCGCGATCTTTCGTTTTGATGTTACTGTATAGTGAAGATTGAGTCGACCATATTCCCATTGAACTGGACAATAAACATCAAGAGCATTGCATAACCAATAGTACGAAGATCGTCTAAATTTTCAAAAGTTTCCAAAGCGAATAGTTTCATTTTAAGACGACAAACCTGGCTTGAAATTCTTTTGTACATAACGAATGGCTTATATTTTCAATTGAATCATTCAAACAATGAGTATAATCATATGTGGGATAAATACACCTGTAAAGAAGTAAAATTGTATTGATTTTTCGGTTTTAGCAGTTGTTGAAAAAGAAGAATAATTTACCATTTATCACCTGTTTTGGCATGATGAGCATATTTGATACGATAAGCGACAGGATCGAGTTTACCATCTTCCATAACACATTTCATGCGCAGTGTTGCTTCACCTTCGGCAAATTTGCCGTTTTTCATATCCTAGAAGACGATATTTGACTTGACAAACCTTGAAATACTCAATCTTTACTTCGAATAATTGTAAAGATTCTTCGATTGGTCGATTTCTCCACGGTGATTCAGCAACATTATGTCCTTTCAATTCATCACCCTTCTGATGGCAAACATAAGCAAGATCCCGACGAATCAATTCCTTAGCCCATTCATATAGCTGATCAAATTGGTCTGACGCATGAGTGATTTTATATGGTTCATAACCTAAATACAGAAGATTTCATTACAACAAGTCAATTTTGCTTTACTGGTAGAAAAGCTTACCAAGCCATTTAACAATATCGAGAATACCAGTGAAGAATTTTTCTTCCTCTTTTTCAGGATTTGTATCATCATATCGTAAATAACAAATGCCATTATTCAGCTACAAATAAAAAGCATTCTTTAGCATTTGATGATAAATATGCACGAAGAATTTACTTTGGCATAACCAAAATTAAAATTAATGGCTTTGGCATGGCCTATATGCAAAATTCCATTAGGCTCTGGTGGAAAACGCGTAACAACCTAGAGAATATTAATTGTGTGAAAATTTATACACGAAAGTTTCTGTCTTACTTGTCCGCCGGTTTGTTTTAAATGTTCCTTCATAAGTTCCATTGTCTTTGGTGTCATCACATAACCTTCCGTTTTATAATTTTCACCTGGAAGTAAGATAATATTTCAGACAAAAGTAAAGTGATTTCTAACTCCATATCTTACCGGGCTTATGAAAATTTAAAGCTGCTCCAACTAAATCAGCGAATGATCGTACTTGGCCATTCTCTTGAACATCACTGTTCGCATTTGTAGTTGTAGTTGGTTTAGCCTTTTCGGTAGCTGGTGCTGCCTGATTACAAACAATATAATTCAAGACACAATTTTCATAAAACTGAAATATACCTTGGGTTTTTCAGCTGCGTTGTTCGCTGATCGATCATTGGGTCCAAGAAGATCCAGCAACTGTAAAAACGAGACAATATAAAACAACCTGGTTCGTTCATCTTACTTGAACATCCATTTCTGCTTTGACTGCTTTTCCATCAGCCCATTTTAGTTGTTTTCGAACTTCACTAAGAAGTGTTCCGATTGGAAAACTATATCGTTGTTCCAAAAGTTTTGTTTTATTCTGTTCGATAACACTTTCAACAGCACGTTCGATCTCTGCCGGTGTTACTGTCACGCCTATGCCAGCATATTCTTCTAATGCTTTCAGATCCACTGGTTCCACAGGGTTCGAAAGAAGATATTCAATAGCAGCTAAAAAAAAGAACTTTGCCATCGATTTTCAGATACAAACGTTCCTTAGATTTTACCTAATAATTGTAATTCATTCTTGATTTTTTCTTCGCAGATACACTTTATCAAGTGTCCATGTAGTTTATATATTTGTTGTTTGCTTCTTGTTGAAAGTGCATACAAAAGATTGCCAATTGGTTTTGATATTTGGTTTTCTTTCGGAAGAAATTTTCTTGCCTTGAATAGAACACAAAAAGTCACAAATAGAAATGAAGATTGGAAGTTTCTCTATACTTCATTGATAGTTGCTTCGAGTACACGAGTTACTTCTTGATTTTTTAAAGTTTCGCGTGCTTTCTGTTCGTTCAGTCCAATTGATTGAAATAGAGCGACACGCGCTTCGTTGTCAGTAGACGTTGCCATTGTTGAAAAGACTCAAATCTAAATAATCGACACACGTTTTCTGATTTCCTTAAATAGTCCAGCTGTTTGCTGCTCTCATGACTAAGCGATGGCTGATGTAATGCATTTCATGCTTATGACATCCATACAACCAATCAGAATCTGAGGAAAGAAAAAAAACAACGATCGCCATGTGAGTAAATGTTGGAAAAAGCTAGTATACATGATCTAAAATTAGAACGAAAAGAGAATTTATTGTGTGATACAAAAAAAGAACAGCGATGATCTATTTCTTAAACAAGTAGGAAGTAGACTTGTTTTCTTTCAAAATTAGAAAAATAATACTGATTCCTATTCACAAAATTATCAGACAAGCGAAAGCAATGAATATATATATCACAGATGAGACATCAAGAAGATGAAGTGTGTTTTCGTTTTTCTGCACGTCTTCGATGATCCTTTAAATATTGTCTTAAATTTTCGAATGTTCGACGTTCTTCGTCGACTAAAAGATTAAATTCTCGTTCGATATGCGCTTGATCTTTATCGAATTTTGATTTATAATCGTGTTGGATTTGTTCAAGTTCGGTTTGAAATTGTTCAATAAATTGTGAGAGACTATTCGTTGGAAGTTTTTCAACGGGCTTCACATCCACTGGGGAATGTTTATCAGTTTTCATCGTTGTACTCGGTGTTGGTGATCGAACAGGTGGTGAAACGACAGGAAGACAATGATTAATAACACCTCGTGGTGGTGATGCCCAACCTGATTCACTGCGACTAGTCGAGAAAAACAAAAGCTTGATTCTAATGTTTTCGATCTAGAAAACTTACACCGGCGAGGACACGGATTGAATACTTGTTGTGTTTAAAGCTGAATGAGATGCGGGACGTGAGCTCATGATTTGTGTTAAATTGGCATTCGATGAATATTCATGATTACGATCGTTCGAAGATACCAGTGAAGCAAGATGACAAGGTGCTTGGCACAAATCAAGAATGACACCTTGTATACGTATAGATGGTATATCAAGAACTTGTCGAACGGTTTTTTCATCGGAAAATTCAACTACAGCACAAGTTGGATCTTTCGGAAATATATAACAAGCAATGAGAGGTGTTCGTTTATGAAAGAAATTTCTAAAATGAAGAAATGTAAAAAGGAAAAAACTGGCTTTTTAGTCTTACATTAATATCTCATCGGTAATCTTTGATGTTAATCCATGAACGTGTATCTGATTTGTTTTGTCATTCATTGAAATTATTTTATTAACAAGTTGTTTTGGATGAAATGGTTTAGATAGACATAGTTTTCGATGTTCATTCAGATTTGGAATAAGATTTCTGTCGAATATTCGTGAAATTGATTGTCGTGTAGCAAATTCTAATAACAAATAATCTTCTTCATTCTGTTTTGACAGGAAATATTGCATTGTCGGATCGATTTTTTGGTAAAACTCGATGATTCGATGGATATCGTTTTGAGTTCTTATCGGTCCAATGTAAAATTTCCGATCGAGATTCAGTTCATCATGATTCATTAAAATATGTTTATATAATTTCACCTCGAGAGTATATCTGTCGAGTTTATGATTGGGTATTCGAAGAAAATTCGTCAGTTGTTCATAATCAGCGAATTCAATCAGATGAAAATCACAAAATTTCTCTTTGGGAAACCAATACGTAACAATCGATCCAAATTGTGAACAATAACTTAACAAAATGCTTTCATTAATCGATGTGCTGTTGCCAATATAAACACATAAGGATAGATTTGAATAAAAAGGCGTATGAGATGTTGATGCCATGTAGACAAAAGCGTTTAGAAAAAGACAACACGTCACATCGTCATAGGTATTTTACATCGACAATGGATCAAGTCACTTTTCCTCTCCTAAAACTAACTTGGACAAACCATAATTTTACCAGTAATGTACGCAGAATCTAGATGTCACTCTTATCAATGGAAAACTTTTATTAATATATCTCAACAAACAGTTCCTATCGATTAATAAAAGTCAAATTAGGAGAGTAATTTTATCATTTCGTGTTTTTTGTTTTCGTTGTTGACTAATAGAGAGCCAAATCGAGTGATGTGAAATTTATTTCGCTGTCGGCGTGAACGATGAAACATCCTGAAGAAACTTTTTTTTTGAATTTTAGAATATAGCACCAAAAATAACTTACAAAACTATCGCCAGAAAAGTTACAATACAGCTCGTGATTAAGGAGATAACAATCGCTGTTTGTTTCGAATCTAATTCAATTATGTTTTGAAATAAGAACTGTTTCCGATTATCCACATTTGTAATCTAAATCCAAAGAAAATCATCTTAAATTTCATCATCAATACATGTGCGAATCGAACTTGATTCGAGCTCTGTACTGAATCAATTCGATCCAATAATATACGAATATAGGATTGTACATGTGTATCTTCAGGATCGTTTTCAGCTTCGTCTACTTGCGAGAAGTTTTGTGTCCTATTCGATACGATGATGTTTTGCTCAGAAATAATAATATCCAAATAAGTGGCCACATTCGGTTCTTGCTCGATCATAGTATTCTTCTTTAGCTTTGCTATTGTCGTCGTCTGATCAGAAATCATGTACAGTGAATAACTTCCAATAAAACTCATAAAAATTATAGAAAAAAAAATAGTCAATTTCATAATTGTTTGTGAAGAAAATGAAATGTTTGATGAGACAAAGCGCGAAAAAATTCGGTTTTCTTTCGAGCACAATGCTCGTTTTATTCAAGTCACTAGTCACAAACAAAATATATAACTAGTAGAAAAATACTATCGCAAGAAAAACATCACCGGAAAGTTAGTTCATGAACAAAAACGAAAGAACAAATACATATAATCGAATAAAATACGTATGAACAAATGTTTGATGGAAATCTGATGTTAATTCGTCGAGTGTCACTGTGGAAGTTGAACTTGTCGTATCGAATTGACAATAATTATGACATTCTTCTTCAATCATTAACCATCGTTGTTGACATTGAGTGAATATTCCTGATATATTTCCCACTTCTCGACCGAACCATTGTTTCGGTGTTGCACATCGTGCGAATAACGAGAGTTCAATCGGTAAACGATGGAAATCACCACGCGCATGAGATTTCTCCAAATGACGGCGAAGCTCTGGCCTTGAAATCCATCGATCGAGATACAAATCGATATTTTCATTATCGTCTGTGACTAAAACCCGGTAAATGTCTCCATATTTCAAATAAAATAGATCGCACGAACAATGCAACGGATTGTTCATTAAATACAATCGTCGTAATGATGGAAGTTGATCGTAAGTACAAACATCTAATGTACGCAGATGTGTGCTAACAAGATCGATTTCAATTAACGAATGTGCACGACAGAATGTTCGTTGTAAACTATGAGTAGAATCAGATAAGGCGGTTTGGAAATTATTCCGTCGTAATTTAATTGATTGTAAGCGTTGATTCGAGATGAACAAAAAAGGAGGAAGATCGTCGAGTTGAGTGTTTTCAAGATCGAAATATTCGAGGTTTTTCAGCGGTTCTAACAGGTGAGTTGTTAATGAACGTTGCCTTAACGGATTGTTGCTGAGAAGGAGAATTTTCAAACGATACAATGAACGGAAGGCGTTTGGGTCAATGTGAGAGATTTGATTATCTGAAAGATCGAGTGTCGTGATTGTTCGACAACGAATAAAGAGAGCAGGCGATAGATTGGTTAGTTTATTTTCGCGTAAGATTAATGTTTCTAAGCGTTTTAAACCTGTAAAGTCTTGTTTATGTAATTCATCGAATTGGTTTTTACTTAAGTCAAGTGTACGAAGAAATTCTAAATGTCGGAGAAACGAACTCTTTCTTAACGAATGAAATTGATTGTATTGAAGATTGAGATTGATCAATGTTGAACTAAATGTATGAAAAACGTCATCCGGGAGATCGGAAAGATAATTGGCCGATAAAATGATTGTTGTTATCGGTACTGGACTATTTATAAACGCATCTGGATCAATACTTGAGATTCCGAGACTGTCCAGATTAATTGTTTGATCAGGAAACAGAAATGATGTAAATGTTACATTCGATTGATATAAAGTATCGAATACAGATGAAGTTAAATGATGAATCGGCTCCGATATTGGTAAAGCTAAACAAAACACTAGTTATTATCGAAAATTATAGTCCTACGACTTTCATTATCCTTTTCTTCTTGGACAAAATTCATACTTCGAAAATTACGAAACATTTCAATCTTATATAACATCTTTCGACTCGAAATCGAACCGCCACGAACGATATTTTCTCATGTCAAAACATCGATTAACCTTGAGAAAAGGAAAAAATCATTCAATTAATGATACTATTCGATAGAATACAACATAATGACATCAGATTCAAGGAACAGAGAAATTCAAAGGAAAAAAAATACTTCATCCGATCAGAAGAAGTACATCGATCTTTCCCTTTCTCTCGATGTGCAACTGTTGTCATATAATTTCTTTCCCTATGCGCACAACAACGTATCGACATTGACAAATCACAATCGTTTCCTTTTGTATACACATTCGAGTAATATCGAAAACATATTACGAGTATTTCACGTAACAATCATTAATAATAAAAAAAAGAAGTCAAATATGAATATTCATTATTTCAACCTTGGCTCATTAAAGAATGTTATCGATAATGATTCGCGACAGATTGTTGATGAGATGAAAAAAAAAATTTCAAAAATCGTTCCGATACATCAGTATGCATAAACAATCATTTCTACACAAAGACAAACGAGGGTAATCAAATCTAATCATTAGATTTATCTCATCTGGTCGCTAAGATAATAGTAGTTCGATGAATTGGATAATCTATGATAGGATATCGCGAGAGAGGATTATGCAAGATATATACTATAAACAATACTTCGAAAAGAATTGTTTATTCGTGAGGTGTCGCAAACTTCACTAATTATTTGTCTTCTTTTTCCGAATACTCGTTAGATAATCTCGATCAAAAATCATACTTACATGATTGTAGGACCAGCTGTCTATCGTCATCATGATCATCATCGAATTCGAAGGTGTAAGTTAGTTGAATAAGTATGATAAGAATATAGGAGACAATTGAATAATCCATAATTTACTTGATGAGAAGCACATTCAAAGTTTTTCTAAAATATTTGCATTTGATATGAAAATAACAAGGAAAAATATGATGATATTACTAATGAATATACCGACAAAATGATACCTTTTCACATGTTAGTACAAGTACGAAACTAACATGAATGCAATCAATGAGAAAACAGAATATGTCACATAATCTTTCTCGCATGATAATGTTCAGATAAAATATCCGAGACTTGTTTCTCTTTCTCTCCCTTTCTCTCTTTTCTAATGTAATAGTGTAGGAAATGTGGAGGGAAAAGAAAGAGCAAAACTCGTATCGGAAATATCTGACTGTTTATTATCGGTCGATGAGAGCTCGTTCGTTACTTTTATTTATTCTTCTAACTGTACTTGCCTTCGTACTTGTTATCAATAGATTGGCCAGTAATATGACAGATGAAATTAAAAAGACACGTTCCATTCAAATGATGTTGTTGACATGTCCTAATCCCTGATTCGGTTTTTTTTTAATAATTGACTACTCTCTGCTATTTTCAATAGTAGAGATCTATTTTATGTATGTCTCTCTCTCTCTCTCCTTTCGATAATCATTCTTCTTTAGTTCTTTTTTCTTCTCCTACACAGGATGCCTATAATCATTGCCTTTATATTCTGTCGTCAATCCAACAAGCTTGATCAATCGTCTATTTTCGTCTAATAAGCGTATGATTGACTAGATTGCTTCATATCTTTCTCTCAGTATATATACATATGCAATAAAAAGTGAAGGTCCAACCGATTTCTTTTTTTGTTCTCTCTCTCTCTTTCTGATATTAATAATTATACGAGACAAATCGAGGTGCTAATCGCTGTACGTGTAATTCCCACATCACTTTAATGGTTGTGTACGAAAAAGAATGCCTGTTAATCGATTCGGATCTATCAAAAACTCATTAAAGAAAAGATGAAAGTATATATTTCTGTCTAATCTTTGTTTTGTTTATTGATTACGCAAAGAAATACATATCCATATAACATTCACCTATTCAGTGATCCATTCATGTGTCTGTAATAGCCGTTTAACCGATCGATCTATTTATCTTTTTGTTATGACTATTGGAAAATTATTTAGAAAAACAGATCAATGAAGCATTTGTTATTAGAGATGAAAAGAAAATAACGAATTATTTCACTGAAAAAGATGCTTTGTTTGATTTACTGAAATCGAGCGAAGTCCTCGCGACACGAGTCATTTATATAGCAAAGGTTGGAAAGTAAAGATCAAGTCTAATAATGACTTAGCAAAACATCTTTCAATCGGTTTGGTTAATGTATAAACAATCGTTTCGACTTTCGAAAGTTAATTACAAAAGACAAATACAGAAGTACATTGTTATCGTAACATAAATTGATGAATTATATAGATATTTGTTCTTAGAAAAAAAAGAAACTGTAGAAGATATTATTAGAATTGATTATAAACAGAAAATGATATCTAATAACGAACGATAGTATCAACAGAAAACACAACTTGACAGATTGGTGATAGTTTCCTTACGAGAGAAACTCTTCTAGAGATGAAATGGAAAACTTTTGTATATATATATATGTATCGCATTATTTATTAAACTCGATGATTGTGTCAATATCAGACGTAAAAATAGGCCGATAAATCATTGACCATTCAACTTTGACTTATCTGTTAACCTTCTCACATTACCCGTGAAGGACAATAGTGCAGCGTTCGATTACAATTCAATACGATATTCATCAATTGTACTTTGGATATGAATTATGAGAGTTGTTACATTTAGCTCGTTTATTAAAATTCTCATTACAAGAAACAAAACCAGAAACATTACTTTTGCTTATCTGTACGGTCGTCATTATCTTGCTTTATTGATGGTCTTTTCTCTGTCGGTCTGGTACCAATTACTGACTGAACATGAGTATCGTTTTCTTCCTGTTGACTCGATTGACGTTGTTCCAATGGCGAATAAGGTCGTAGTAGTTTTCGCTCTCGATGAGCTTTTATCATGATTTCATATGTATCTTTTAACATATCAGTTTTGATATATTCTTCGTCTTTTTCATATAATTGACTTCGTGCAAGAGCTTTTCGTAAACCGTAACTTTGGTCGACGAGATCGTTCTGAGGAAAGAAACCGGCATAAGCTAGACGATTGTCAGATAAGAGGAAATTGTAGGTCTCACAGGCTTGTGTCTAGATGAAAGATATGATGAAAGTTGACAGAGAAGAAAAATGTTTTACTAACTGTTGGCAGAATTTCAAAACCAATTTTTAACGAACGAAGATATTTTATCGTCTCCGGAAGAACTTTATTCGTCCGGGCACCGAAGCCCAACACGAAGATTTCTAAAAATATTGATCGATGTTTTGATTATCAAAGACAAAACCGGAAGTACCTGGACGAGGCTGAATAACTTCAAGTAAAGCTAAAGACTCCGGTGTTATTTGTTCTGGTGAAAAAACCTAAAAAAAGATACCATTATCTGATGACAGAAACGGAACTCTATTTTTTCTCGTATGAGTACTATCAAACATCAGTGTGCCCAAAAAAAGGAAGGCTAAGTTTGCTTCGAAACTGATGTTTTTCCTATGTCTTATCTTTCATCGTATATGTTAATCAATGATATAGAATGAAATACTAAAGATATCTTACATTCCAACAAACAATCTGTCGTGGAAAAGAAAAGATTGCTCCAACAATGCGATCTCGTCCAGCAATGAGAAAACCGTCGTCGTATAAACCGGTTATTAACGGTAGACGTTTATCATCTTGATCCATAGCTGCGATCGTCGTTGGTTCATATCGTTCATTCGGATAACCCATGCGACCCTCGGCACTACGTGCGAGATGAGATAGAGAAAAGAATTTGGAAGAGATTTTTGCTGGATTGAAAATCCATTGAGAGGAATTTTTGAGAAGGAAATTCATCTGAAAAAGGTCAAGAACAAAATTTACTCTCATTTATCTGACAACCATGATGGAAGTGAATAATTATAATCTCTGAGAAGTTTAATCAAGATTCGATTGTGGGATAAGTAATAATTTGTTAAATATTCACGTGATTGAGATGACATCGGTTGATACGAACGTCCTTTACTATTGCCAAGACATCGAAAACGATGTTTGGATGAAATTGGACAAAAGAAACCTTTTTTGCGATTGAATCTATCGAGAATTAGGTTCGTTATCATTTCGGAAAAACCGAAATAACTTACCTGACCAACTGTGAAGATTTCCGAGAATTTTTTAGTTGAAGAAATGAATGTTGAAGATCATCCAGAATTGGACGAGGATCTTGGCGAAATGCTTCACCATCAATTATGTAAATCTAGAAAAATCTCCTGTTATTCCAGAGCTTCCAATACCAACGAGGAATTACTTGTTTTGATGAGAAATACTTTAACCAATTACGAACATGTTCAGCATAATGTCCTGGTTGAAGGCAGCGTTGCTTCAAACGAAAATCCTCGGAGTTTTCTTTATGTTTCATTTTCAGTAGTTCATCAAAAGTTATCGTTCGATTTGTTCGAGCAATTTCATGCTAAAGGAGAAGAAAATATTCTATTCAGTCATCAATGCAAATGTTTCCATTTGTTTTCATAGACAATTCAATTATAAATAACTGTAAGATAGACACTAATTACACGCAGGCAATGCGAAGGTTAAGCCGGATGCTGACCAGACATTCAGGCTATTGGCTTTTGATTAAACTGTCCTAAACTACACAATGATCAAGAATTTGTCCTCAAGACAAGCTTGTCACTTGTCTGACAACATAGCCTTGACCTTCGCAAATCTGTCTCCAACAAATCAAACTCGTGGATGATATTGACTTACATATTTCCATCTATAATTAATCGATTTGTCTATGTAAACCTTGTCTATTGTTGACATCTTACTTGATATCGCGAATAAGCACGATGGCCAGGTTCGGTTAACATCATTATCAAACGTATGTTTGGTAATAGTGCTTTCAACCGTTTGATAGAGACGGCCGAATCAAAATAAGTTGCAGATTTCTCGAAGTTCATTGATTGTTCGTCGGGATCGAACTGATTCAAATACCTGCGAAAGAATAACGTAGAATCTTGAGATTTTCGTTCGTGGCGATTGTCTTACCAGTTGATTCCATTGAGATAGATCGTATTATTGCTGAAGAACTGTACTTCTTCGAATGTTGTCGAAATTGCTCGTGACGGACGGAGATCAGGATGTTGAGATAGCATAGCATGCAACGCAGTCGTACCTGTTTTTTGTGGACCGACAATGATGAACTGAGGAAAAGTTGTACACAGAGAATCATTTCCATTCCAAAGATTCATCAGAATTCGGTCACTACATGGATTCTAAATCACATACAACTTATAAAACAAATTTTGTTGAAGTTCTTACCGTAAATATTGGCATTTGTTCTTCGGGATAGAAATGATGAAAGTATTTCCGGGCTAGTTCAGATGACGATAGATCCCTGGACCATTGAATGTTCGTCCATTTGGAAATTAAATAGACCAGTTTAGCGAAAACGTAATTACCCATACGATCATGACCGTAGTTCACATTATGTGACATAAAGATCGAGATCTAAACACAGTTTTCATTCATCAATTGACAATCCACATTCAACTAAATTACAGGATTTGTTAATATCGTTCGAAATAGTCTTCCGCCCATTAAAATTCGTTCTAAACGATGACTGCCATTTGGATACGTTGTATAATTTCTCGTAGTTGTATACAATCCACATGATCGTCGCGGTAAGACCTTCAATCACATGAATTAAGTCGGTTGTTTTCGAAACTCGAAGATGATCTTACAGAAATATTTCGATAAATGAAACCACGACGATCCGATGGTAATTGATAATGATAGGGATAGTTTTCTGTACTTGTCACAGTGAAATTGAAGAAACGATGCCAAACATCGTAAACAATATGATTAATTGGATAGATTCCTGAATGATGAGGTGCGACAGCATAATTTTCATCCAATGGTAATTGATGTTTCTGAAAAAAAAAGTCTTCAATTCGTTGGTCGTTCGAAAGAGATCAGTACTTGTGCAAACGCCATGTTGGTCTCCGTCGAGCTGATTAAAAGAATTTTATTAGTAACATTTGTTAATTTTTCATGTTTCCAAGTATGATGAAACCAAGTGAATCGATCTTTCTCGTCTAGAACGGTTTTTCCCGCTAGAGAAAACGATCTTAAAAAAAAAGAAGAAACTTACTCATTAACAAACGATTTGCTTCATTCGCATGTTCATTCGTAGAATTCGAATAGTAATAACCCGAAAATCCCAATCGATATCGAAAATTTTCAATATAATTCTGAATAAATAATTGTGAACGAATCAGTGCTTGAATATCATCCGAGATTAAATAACCATTCGATTTATCACCTAAAAAGATATCATCAATATCAACTTGTACATATCGTTTCAATCCATGATAATCATATTCATTTGAAGTTAAATATCGCACTATATCCATCATCACCGGCCAGATAAACCAATAATCAAAGAGACATTCAGATAAATATAGTTGTTTCTCGTGGTATTCGAACAATAATTTCAATTTTTCAGAAGATGTTCGACTATGCACATAAACAATCGTATCGGTTCGATGATTGTCGGTTGTCCGAAAGACAAAACATTTAGTTTTTCGTTCGAATTGTTGATGGTGAAAGTATGGCAAGACTGTGTCGAATCGTAAAATTTGAATGATCTTGTTATGTTGAACGAGTCGAAATGGACTTTTCGTTGTGTGAATCACCGGTTTCAATACATCACGATTGAAATCCATTGTTGGATAACTGACATTCTCAAATAACATTTCCGAATAAGAAACTTTTGTACAATCAGTACATTGTGCATTCAATAAGATTAATAATTTAATTTCATATTGATTAATAACTGAACGAAGATTTTCATCAGGATGATAATCAAGAATGATTAATCTTGGTAACAGAGTCTTAACGTTTTCGTAAAAATGTTCATCAATTCTTCGATATTCAACGTAATTCAGGCGAAGTTCGTTGAAAAAGAGACTAATGCGTTGAATTGTTTTCGAGCGTGTTGATGAGAGAATGAAAATTGACAAAGATTTTCGTTGGAGAAAATTTTTATTTGGAACAGATTGAGAAGAATAGTATGTACAAATGATGACGAAAATCAGACAAAAACTCAGTGCTTTAATTGCACGTTTCAATGTACAACGAACCATAGGTTCGAAAAATCTAGAAATATTATCTGAGAAGTTGATTTATACATTCGAAATTATCTTTATATATATATATATATATTCTGTTTTTATCTATAGAAATGAAAATAGATTGACAGAGTTCATAAGAAAAGAAATTTGACTTGGTTTCATAGTGTTTTTCTGTCGTACGTAGAAATCAATGAACGGCATTCTCGTTTCGTATCAGATTTTTAAGCGCGTAGGTCAACTATTTTACATTGAAGACCGGGATCATACATTGTATGAGTTGCAGGCTAAAACAGTAGTCATAGATTCAGAAGTTTGATATCAAAGAGAACCATACTAGGAACAATGGAGGATTGTTGACATGTTCATGAAAGCCGGTTTTTTTACAAGTTGAAATCACCGGTATACCCGTCTCGGGTGTAAGAGAAAATATAGCAGTTCTAAACGAATCGAAATCGCTGAGTGAACAAATCTTTCCGACGATGCTTTACTCGTTGTATTTTGGACTAATGACAATAGCAACTGCTTCTTGCATTAACATTTGATAAGGTAAATGTGTATGAAGATCCACGCTGGATAAGAACACAGTCTGGGTGGGATGGGTCTAAAAATAGATTAGACTCGTCGACATTGTGATATTCTTTTATGTTAGACATACATGAATCCAGCCAAGCGTGATTAAGTCATTACTAGCGATGTACTCAACCATTTCTTCTTCTTTCTCTGTATCACATGAATCTAATACGTCGAAAACGGGCGTTTAGCAAAAAGAAATTGTTGGATAGATTTATGAAAATCACCTGGTCCGCCGTTTTGTTTTGGTACCACAATATGTGTGATAATGTATTGATTGTCTTTCTGAAAAATACGAGTGACGAGATATGAGAAGACAGGCTGATAAGTTTACTTTGCTGCCTGCAAGAATACCACAGGTTTCAATTTTCCGTTCTGAAAAGAAGTTCAAAGTAAGAAAATTCGTGAATTGTCGGACATGGCCGAACCTGTGTTTCGCAGTGCAACTTGAAGAAATTTATGTGTGATATCATTCGGTACTACAATTCGACGAAAGATTGCCATACTTGAGTTTGTCGAGTCTATTTCGAAGCAACGAATAGAAAGATATTCATGATCTTATTTCAATCAACATACTCAAGATCGGCTTTTGTGCGCGATCATATGTTGGCCTGAAAATGAAGGAATTAGTTTGATAGAGAGAATTTTTAAGTGATTACTTTGTAGGTTCCTTGCTGTTTTCCAATAGATTTCTATCAGTAGCTGGAATAGCAAATAAAGCGACGTGTGCTGGTTGTGTAGGAGTAAAATTTGCTTTCAATTGTTGGAATGCTTGTTGATTTTCATTATGAATACTAAAGAGCGAATGATTCTAAGATGAATAGATGATCAGTATTTGCTTTTCATACTTCGTCGTTGGTTTACTTGCTGCTACTGCTGCTGCAGCCGCCAGCGCTTTGGCATTTTCTTCTTCTTGAGCTGCTTTCTAAACATAACTCCTACTCATACTGGAAACTACTTTTGTCTTTTTCATACCAATTGTGCTTCGTGTTCACGTGCGTATTTATCTTGCAACTTCAATTTTAATTCTTCAGCACGTGGAAAAGCTTTCGACCGAATTATCTACGAAAAACGCCTATTTTCAAGAAGACACGATCAATCCACTCTATGTTCACCTCTTTCACACGTTCACGATCGTTTACAGAAACAGTTGCGTAACTAGGGTGGTGCAATTTAAGTTCTTCAACAAATAATCTACACGATAAAACTTTTATATCGCTTTTCAATCGATTAGAATTCTTCTTACGTTATGTATCGTGAATAGAGAATAAAGCTTTGTTCATATAATTGATTTCGATAATGATAATCCGCTTCATCTATTAAATTATCGGATGTTTTATAATAAAAATTAATCGGTGTAGTTGAACGAATTGGTATTCGACATTGATTTTCTAGTAAAGATTGAACGTAATCTCGTCCGTGTTTTATCGATTCTTCCGAAAGGGACATATTCGATCTAGAAAAGAGAAAATTATCAAAAAGGAAAATTTTATTCGTCTTTCGTATAATAGCAGCACAAATGAATAATAATCACAATAGCAATTAAAGCTGGAGCATCATGTTCGGTATCGAGTATTTCGATGGTATATCCATTCTTTCGCGTGACTTTGGCAATAATCTCTTTTTCATCTTTACTTGTAATCGAAAAATTTGCACCAAAATAATCGCCCACTGTGTGAAATTTGACTTCATCAACTTCCGACGAGATCGTGAATTGTGGATGTAGTAAATTGAATTTCTTACGTATATTCATCACTGGTTGATGATGTTTGTTATGAACAACATATGTCGGACGTAGAGCGAAGAATTGCTTTTCGACTGTACAGACAACATCATCGGCTATAATGAAAAATATTAACAAAGAAAGTCAAGGATATGTAGGATAGTTTACCTAAGTCGAATATAGTGAATTTTCTTCCAAGAGATTCCATTTCATTTTTCACAAGATATCTCTTCAACCCTTCAGTATCGAATACATCAAATTTCGAGGAGAAATCTTCGGTATTGATGGAAAATTTCATGGATATTCGTGATGACGTTTATGTGCTTTTTACAGCGGATAAACAGATGAGAAAAATATCGGTTATGCATCATCGCTCGTCTATTTTTGTGTGTCGAAACAGTACGAAATTTGCCCTCGATGAATAGATACATATAGTCTGATAACTAATGAGTAATACTCGCCTATATGTGATTTATGACAAACCACGATAAGGGAATGAATCTGGTTCGTGCAAAGATTCGGTCATTGTTATTCAACGATAGATGTCTATAGGGAGCTGAGGGAACAAAGGAGAATTTTTTGTTAGGAAAAGCGAATGAATATAGAGAAATTTTCGAAAATAAAATTGAAAAATTTTCGAAGTAGGATTTCTTAAAGAGCTGAGTGGTGATTTCAATTAACCATACGTGAATTTGTTTGTTGCCGAAAATGGTTGGCTATTTACATTTTAGTATGTGTGGAGAGAAAATGGGACGGGATACATAAAAAAATGACGTGTCAACTTTTGTTGTTGTTGTAGATTTCGAGTTTTCAAACGCTAAATGATCAATTCTATTGAGAAAATATTTACCTATGAATGAATTTCAAAGCAGGTCTTGAACCTCATTTGACAATGGCTTCATCAGCATCATCTTCAAATCGTCAGCGTAAACGAAAACGAGACAAATCTTCGGCAACTTTAAATTCGTATGTAATCCAGTGCATTTTCAATCTTTAGTTTTGTCGTTGATGCCATTTAGACAATCAAACTTCACGCCTGAAAAAGTCCATTTAAAAAAATCTCAAAAAGAAATGTTACGTCATGAAACAGCTAAGATCGTTCTCTGGAGACAACCCATACGCACACTACATTATTGTATACTTGAACTGCTTTATCTGAGTCATCTTAGTTTCAAACGTTTGATATCCTATAGGAAAACGTTGATTCTATCAGTAGCAATCGGTCTTTCTCTTCTGCTCATTTATAATGTTGAAGGTTCGCATCAAACAAGTATTCAACTTGTAGAAAGTTTACTTCTATCTGCATTATATTGGCTTGGTCTTGGCATTGCCTCGTCAGTTGGTCTTGGCACGGGTTTACATACATTTCTCCTTTATCTCGGTCCATTTATTGCTCAGGTTACTCTAGCAGCATATGAATGTGGATCAATCAAATTCCCTCGTCCACCTTACCCTAATGAAATCGTTTGCCCACCGACTACGAGTACAACAACGACAACACGAATGTTAATCAATGCGAACGAGACAATTCTGACTGATCTACTGGAAACCGGAACAATCTCTTTCTGGAAAATTCTATGGAAAGTTAAACTAGAAGCTTTCTGTTGGGGTCTAGGTACGGCATTCGGTGAATTACCTCCGTACTTTATGGCGCGTGCGGCACGTTTGGGAAATACCGATATGGATGATGACGAAGAATTAGGTGACTTTGAACAATTGCTGAAGACAGAGGAAACACATAACTTAAAAAATTTGACCTTATTCGAACGTGTTCGGTACTTAATCTTCCGTTTAATCAAACGTATCGGATTTTTAGGCATACTTTTATGCGCAAGCATTCCAAATCCCTTGTTTGACTTAGCTGGCATCACATGTGGCTATTTTCTTATCTCGTTTTGGACATTCTTTTTAGCAACAATCATTGGCAAAGCATTGATTAAAATGAGCATTCAAACAGTATTTATCATCTTTCTCTTCAGCGAACATCACGTGGAAAGAATCATTCGCTGGATGAAACATATTCCATATTATGGTCGATTACTACAAACACCATTTAAAGATTGGCTACAGGAACAAAAGGGCAAAATGCATCGAAAACCAGGCGAGAATTTGACTGGTCATGTGCAAAGAATATCCTTATTGACTCGAATATTTAATTTCTTTGTTGCTGGAATGATTATATATTTTGTTGCTTCAATTATCAATTCATTAGCACAACGGTACTATAAACGAACACGCACAGGATTGAAACTGATGTAAAACATAAAATGCGATCTGCTTCTTCTACGTTCTCCTGAATGATGTATTTTTTTTCAACTTGTCCTTTTTTGATTTTGTGCGTTTTGGCGATCAAAGACTATTTGAAGATAACTTTGAAGAAATCAATACAAGCATCGCTGTGAGTTATCCTGTTTTTCTGTCATATTTTCATTTCTTCCTGTATATCTACTATGTGTTTGCATTGATTTCATTCTCATTTGGGTTCACTGTGCTGTTTTCTTTCTCCTTCTTCACCTCTATCTGTTTGTTTTTCTTGAAATATCTTCACAATGCATCAAAGATAAAACGGAAGAAAAACAATTTCATAGCAATAAAAAACTGCAAATAGTTCGTACCTTCGGATCGAATTGCAGTTAATTAGACTACGTTTTTCTGTTCATGAGAGAGCGATCGAATATCATACGGTAATTCGGAGTATATTCATTCGATATGCCAACAGTGTCATCGAGTTTAGAGTAAAACATGTAAAGAACCTAGATGTTCTCAAATGTCAATTCTCCTTCTCATATGAATTTATTCTACATCAGTTGAATCTAGTTGTAAATTGTTCTGCGGAATATCGGATACTATCTCCTCGTCAACTCTCGCAAGAGCATTTTTGGAAGAAAATATTCGCAATACACTGAAATCGAATCCATAAGCTCATTACTAGAGAACTGATCTACTTCACAGCACACTTTTTCCAGTGTCACGCACCTTCATCATCGTTTTGGCTTATACTTGTTTTACATTATCCTTAACAATGACTATCATATCAATGATAAATATTCATAGAAGCTTGCTATTATTCTCCGAATGATTAAAAATAGTTTCATGTACCGTAAAACACAGTATATATGATCTATTTTGAAACGAAGTTATCAAAACATGATCACCCAATGTATCAACTTCCTCCGAGGAGAAATGAAGTCATCAAAGTGTTGGAATGGATTTACAGATTTCATATATTTGATTACATTGTCTTCGCTAATAGTTTTTAAAGAACCTTTTTCATCCGAATATCGATTTGTTCCCATCGGAAGATAATATTGATCTCAAATCTCTCTGTCTGTACTCATTTTAATCGACAAGTCAAAATGACATCTCAACTTTCAATTAGTCAAGCAGATGCTCAATATACCACCAGTTTATAAAAAGCCTCAGTCTGCATTGATAATCTTTCTACCATTTATCAAAACAACACAGACGTCAGAGAAGTTCTTGAGCTTCGAATTCTATTGAACCTTTTCTTTTTATTTCAAAGATTGTTTCTCGCAGTCTTGAAATTTCACGTCATACCTTCGGCTGTTCGTAATTATACGACGTCAGAGGTATCATATTTATCAAACCGCAGGGTATTTCTGAGAGAAAATTTGCAATTAATTATTAATTCATTTGTAATATCAACAAGATAAAATGTCTTTTTAGAATATTATCTAAGCTGTATTCATTGAACTTGATGATACCATTGGTCGATTCTTAAAAAGATCTCGAACATGCTGCTCCTAAGACTGAGAATTTCGACATTCATTCTGAAGATAAGCACTTTCGACAATTAACGAACGAGTTTTCTTCTTTACTTTTTTTGAGAAGGAGTTAAGCATGGCGTTGCATAATGATTAACTCTGTGTTAGTGTTGTGGGGGCGGGACGGATCCATCTAAAATTCTTTGTTTTGGCGTTTTGGGAACACTTTTGAATAGTCGAAATTTGCCGAAAATGAGGGCGGTAATAAAGGGCTAATGAAATAGCAAGAATAGAAATGAAAGGAGATGTTACATTATTTAATGAGGAATAAATAAATTTTGTACCTCACATCATTAAACCGTGCATGATATTCGATTGATTTGTCGCAAATAGATATTTATATTTACATTATTATCGCTATTTTCAAATGAATGTCATACTTATGAAAAAGTATTTGTTTGCAATCATATTTATTAAATAAATAATCATTCATTTCTCTTTCTTTCGTCTTTTTTTTTTATTCAATTCGGCCAGCGACCTTTTAAGCGAAGCGTTACATGTAATGATTAACAATCATAACAGTTCAAAATGTGTATGTTTAAGTGTCTATTTTTGTGTGATCAAATATTGTTTATCGATGACAGTATCGTGTCAACTCAGAGATAGTACAAAGATTTTCACAACAAGATTCAGTAATCACTCGAGGTGTTTTACTGGCCCGCGGAGATATTCGATGAAGAAAATCTTTCGATGTTGAAGTTGTTTGACGATGAAGCGCTGGTATCGGGGTTGTTATTTGATGTTGTTCAACAACTCGACAGACAACATTTAACATTAACAATAAATTCGGACCACATGCATGAAAAACTCGTTCTAACAAACAGTTTTCCACTCGATAGAGTTTCTTTCGCAATTGTATGACACTGTTTTCATTCAAATATTTACCATCATATTCGACAACGCATTGATCTTCACGTAAACGTTGTCGATAAGATACACCAGCTGCTTTGATATGATAAATTTTTCCATCCAGAATATAATGAAGATGGCGTAACACTTTCGCTTGATATTGTTTATCGGCCTGTAGAATTTTCTCACGAAGAGATCCTTGATTTTCATTATGATGACTATCGGTGTAATTGAAATTATGATTAAAATTGATCAGATCATCATCAATTGTAGGCATTGTTCGACTAAAAGCAACCAGTGCTAAGAGGCATAGTGGGATGTACGTATTCATAATGATGCTTGCGTTATTAATGATTTTCAAATAAAATGTGAACTAGCACACTAGAAGAGAATTGCAAAACAGACTTTTAAATATATGATTATCATTAAAGTGAAAGAGAAATGGATAACGAGAGAAAGAAGGAGGGAGAGAGAGAGAGAGAAAGAAATCAACTTACATGATATGATGTTTCCAACGCTCTCTGAGCTAAATGTTAAATTTGCTTGCAAGAATTTTATTGCTGTTTGAATGCTGAGAGAAGTTTGAATATTTATATGTATGTCTAAATGTTAGCTCATTTCTCAAAAAAAGGAAATGTTAACATTGAAAAAAAAGACAGAGAAAGAAACGTGGAGAAACCACCATTTCTTTTTCAACTAATCCTACGTATATTAATGTTAAATTAAAATTAAAGAGAGAGCCTATATCGTTTGTGACCGGAATTTAGCGCGTTATCTCAGATGAAAATATCAATATTGCCGTGCATTTCCGTGTACATTTTCAATAAGCAAATAGTTAAGTCAGATCATAGTTTTTCACATATCATGGATTTCTTATCATGGAACAGATGCAGGAGACTTTTTAAATCGACAGCGCTGACAAATTTATCTGCAAATGTACTTCACGGCCTTGTGGATAAGAATTTGGAAGTTTGAAGAATGTTTTATCGACCGCATGGAAATTTGCTTTTGCACAAATTGATTCTATTTGTCTGCTGAGGCTTGGGGAAACCATCTGGTTGTTTTCAAGTAATTAACTAGAGATATAACACGGAAAGACGTTAGAAGAAGTTCTTTTTCTATTATATTAATGTTTTTGTACATAAGTGAAGAGGAAAAACAACACAATAAGAAGAGATCAAATGCCAGTGAATATATATTTGTTGAGAACATCGAAAAATACAAAGAAAAAATTAGAAGGAATTTCTTTCTCTTGGATTGCTTCTTTCTTCTTGTCACAAACTATTTTTCCGGACAATATTTAAGCAATTCCGATACTGTACAAGCAGTTTTACAGCACAGACCGTAATAGACTTGATCTAGTGATTTGATCAATTCAGCGTTGATTTGTCGACGTTTGAGAACTTTTTTCGTCGAATGTTCGGTCGTATACGAGCAAACAAGTTCGCGCATTTGATGAAATAACTTCGAACCACATTCAGCGACATACGCACGATTTAATCGACAATCTTCAACTTTGAACCATTTGTTCTTTAGTTTGATAATTTCACCTTCAGTCAACATTTGAACACTTTCATCTTGACCATTAACTTCAACTGTGCAATGATCTATTTAGGAAGAAGTCTCCCTCTTGTACATACGATTTAGTCCGAGTTCAAGGAGTCTTACCATTATTCGAAACGTGCTGGGTGTAAACTGTGTCAACACCTTTAATTGTATATTGTTTTCCATCGAGATGCTTTGGATTGACTTCAGTGTCAACTGAAGAACTGATAACTAATGCAAAAGTGTAAACTGAGAGGAGAAGAATGGCGAACATGTTGTTGTTTGTCTTTGTGAAAAGAAAGAAATGAGAAGAAGTAAAAGTCGAAGGATGAGTATACACAATTCTCTCTTCATGAAAGAAAAAAAAAAGAAAAGTTTAGAAAAAAGAAGAAAGCTTCAGTGACTATAACATGATCAATGTTTTTTTTCAATGATGGCAACAGCGAATATAAAGGAAACCAATTATTTTTGATTATGTGTTAAGTACTAACGATGTCAAACATTGTAGAGTTGCAAGTTTGACGTCAGAACAAATCTTTTAATTCGAATAGAGAAAACTGTCTTTTGCTAATCTGTTTTATTTGACAAGTAACAAGCGAAGTATTAAAAAAATCCGAAAACTTCGCTGCTTATTTGTTTTTAGTTAATAAATCTTCTAAATGATTAAAGCGTTTATCGATATGTTGTTTGAGTTCATCGAATCGCTGGGCAATATAGGATTCGAGACGATTTTCTAAGGCGTTTAATTCTTGTTTTGTTTTTTCATTGTCTTGACTACAAGTATTCTTCACATCTTCATTCAAAGAAGATCTTATTTCATTAACTATTGATGAGAGAGGAGCGGATGATGCTTGCCTGAAATCAAACAAAAGAAAAACTTCAACAATTAATTCGCCAACATGAAATCATGATTTTTCCTCTCAGATTAACTTTACACATAGGTATGCTTGTGTTTTTCCCCCCTGAAGTTTTATTTCTCAGAATAGAAATCGTTTATCTTAACTGTAAGTCTGTTAATATGTCGTAAAACATGTGAGAAATTGACGTGCACTTTAATCAATTTCGAGTAACGAGAGAAGCAGTTCTTATGATGATTAACGTCGATGGGGATCGTCCTGCTGCAGGTCAAAAACAGTGAAGTCGAGTATATGAAATATGCTAACGTCATCATTGTGAAGATAAAAGAATTCTATCAAGCGAGAATAAATACACAGGATCTTGTCATTTATATCAACAAAAGAAAAGTATGTTGATTTATTTTGAATTAATCTCTAAAAACGACATACTTCGAGGCCGTCGACGAAGATTTCATACCTAAATTACACGAATATTATTGTCTTTTTGGTCGAGATTGGGTTCAGTGTATCTTACCAGTCATCAATGACATCAATGAGCTTAGGTTGAATTGTGGTGAGGATACTTCTTTCGTTCGACGCTGTTCTTGAATATGTTGAAGATCGTTCATGAATTGACGGGCATTGGATGATAAATGGTTTTCGTCAACCATTGACCGAACGCGATTGATATCGAACGGAAAGCTTGTTGATGGGACTGATTGAATTTTTTTCATTGTTATCTGTATACAATAGATGGTCAATCCCTCTGCGTCAGCAAGTTTCAAACACTAAGTTTTCATACACAAAAGTCAGTGCCGTTTTCGAAGGCGATTTTACTTTTAAGGTCAGTTGTTCATGTACTTGATGAAGTTCGAATGCTGATTCATAGATACACTCACTATCTAGTTCCGTTACCCGTGATCCTTGACAACTTCCGAGATATTCTCGATGATAAAACTAGTAATTCATAACAAAAATATACGAAGAAAACATTCCTAGATAATTATGATTGTTACTTCAATATGTCTTGCATTGGAAAGAAGTTGAATTGAAACAATTTGCCGTTCATCAGGTTGAAGTACACTTATGATAATCACAGGATCTTCTCGTGTATCATTTGGGTTGCAGCGAAGTATGACATTAGTTAAACTCTCGTCTGCTGACGTCATCTTTCTACACAGAGTTTAATTATACCCAATTATCAATTCACACCCGCACACTGTCAACAAATGATCTTTCTCTCACTTATTAGACGGTAAACAAAAATCACAAATCACACTTTACTTTCTTGAAATAAAAGAAGAAATGAACAAACCTAGAATGATCATCAGTGTCTTGGTTATCCGCCTCTGTCGATTGATTTTCCTCCTCAAGAATAACATCGCAAATCTGTTCGAGTGAGATTGAATTAGTAGACGACCAATTTGATCGAACTGAGACATAATCAGTCATCTAGAGTGTTTTTTAGAAAAAGAAAAAACAAAATTTTCGTTGATATCCACGTTTTTGTTTACAATTATCTTGATGAGGTACAAAAAGAAAACGATCAACGAACAAAAGATTTCTTTCTTTTGATAGAAAATAAAAAAATAGAGAGTAACAAAATGTGCACAAATGAATGATAAGAGAAAATTATGAAAAAAAAGAACAAAAGAACTTTCTTTTTACGTCTAATATAGCCACACAAACAAAGAAATAAGGATTATCTGTATCGTACGATCGTATGATCCTAGTTTTGCATCATATTGCTTAAGAAAACAAAGAGTTGTCACTGTTAATCTATTCGTAGCTCGTTTTAGTTTGTTTCACAGAAAGAAGAATAAATAGAAAGAAAGAAAAAGAAAACAGACAAATATTCGAATTTTGTTCATATATAAAACAAATTTCGTTGAAATCTATAATGTGGCCGGTAAGAGTAGCATGTCGTGGCTACACACATGAGCGATTGGATGGACTAACGAGCTTTTAACAGGAGGAAAACGATCTTCAAGCGAATGTGTTTGATAATATTGAATTAATGACTAAATCAAAACATGTTTAACACAAATATTTCTCTCAATAATATCATCTTACTTGTAAACTATCAAAAAGTAGACTATCAACTAAGTAATGTTTCATACAACCATCAATTTCATGAGTATATATTCGAATATGGTAAACTTCATTGTTATGTCTAAATCCAATAGTCAGAATATCACTGGAATTCAATTGTTGATTTCTTACTTGATTGAAATAGCATGTCCTTCGTTTTTGCCTTGTTTACGAACAAGAAATGTATTATTTGGTACTGAATCATTTTTCAAGATCTCTTCGGCTTGATTTCGACTAATGTCAAGATACCTAGAACAAGTCAAAGAGAAAATTAGTTTCTATTTCGAGAGGAAATATTTCGAAACGATTATCATTAGCATTGCAAAACAAGCGATATTATAATAATGATCATAAACATTCGCCCATGGATAAAATAGAATGATTAGTAGATACACTAGACATTAATGGTTTATATAAATGTATGGAGTTTTACCAATCATAGATATGATTGTTTGGTACGACTGGGACGAATGTCGGAGATATAGGTGTATTATCAAAAGAAGATGATAATTGTAAATTTCGATGCTTATTCAGAATATTTTCAGGTGTTGTTGGCGTTGAAATCGATTTTGAACGTTGAATAGGTATATTACTAGAGTTATGGGTCTGATTCTGATTATTTGCGGATGGAGGATTCGAGTAGGCATTCGTATTTGCTGAACGTATTGATATGGGCGGACTATAGGCTTGCACAAGTGAACGAATGAAAGGAAAATGCTGTGCAAGTGTTGATGAGATATTCGAACGCTGAAATGATTCAACGAAAAACTTTTTATGATACCTACCAAGTCTCACAGTCACATACCAACGACGGTGTTTCAGCCTGAAGAGAAGAAAAACCGAAATTTCTAAACATAGTTCCAAAAATGAATTCATACGAGAGTTGTTGATGAACGTTGAATTGTTCTTTGAGAATCGACATCATTAACACTCACAATCGTTGATGGAATGAAACCAACTTCATTTGTTCGAAGATTTTTCACCTAAAAACAAATCGTTCATGCGAAATCTATTTGAATACTTTCTTCTCTCACCTTCCAGATATGTTCATCATCATCTTCGAGAATCTCTAATTTGTCGCCTTCATTTACTCTTATGTGTCGATCACCAAATCGATTCGCTGCTGTTCTACCATTGCCATTATTCATCGTTCCATCGTAATTATACAGTGCATATATGTGATCTAAACAAGATTCGTTCGTTTTTCACACGTCAAAATCCATCGACTTTCGGCTACGTACTGTGATTATTAACGTTAGATGCATTACTGAACGCACGTGGTAATTCAATCGAACCACGGTCAAAACTTCGTATGCGTGCCAATGATGCTAAAGTGAAGGAATTTCGAAATAATTATTTATTCATGTTCAAGTACTTTAGTTCTCACGAACTCCTCCAAGTACAAATTAGAGATTCTTACACATGATCGCACATTTATTAAAAGTACATATTTTGACGGCTAGGTACAAACCGGAAGAAAAGAAAATATACTCAACAGTAAAACTATTCTGCTATAAATAAAATCTTATGATCAATCATTTCTACAAATTCATATCGACAGGGTATATTATTACGTCTAAAAGCTTTCTCCTCTCTGTCAAAATCATGTGCATCCTACACGGTCAACATCTACAACTGTTTTATATTCAACTAATAATCAATAGGAATGTCTCACTACAGACAGATTGACACTGAATGTGCACCTAACGCGAAGAATTTCAATTGACATACCCCGATGAATACATGTTCCAACTTTTTTTATACATTCTCGATGAATTTTTTTCTGACATCTTGAACATTCGTAACCTTGATAAAATATTCCACTAGAAGAAGATGAATGTTTATAAATATTGAATTTCATGAGAATATTCTCTCACCATAAATATCGATTACAATGATCACAGCGTGGATTTATTTCATCGAATGATTTCATTTGAAAGAAATGCCCGTTTTCAGATAATTCCGGATTAGAACATCGATCACTAAAATGAAAAACATAAATCTTCTCAGATTAGTTCCATTCAACTGGACCTACATTGCATCACGCAGATTCTTTAACCAAAACGATCGTTTATCTTCGGTCTTGGCAACGAATTTGTATTCACGTTTCGTTGAATCACGAAGAATAAATGGAAACTAAAGGAAAATTTTCAATAAAAACTTCATCGGCAAAGCGTTCTAATCCACTTACTTCACGTTTTGTTGCTTTTAATTCTTCGATCTGACATCCTTGAATGAATAGTGCAGCACGAAATGTATATTTTTCTGATCCCTAAGTACGACAAACAAATCGCCATTGATCAAGCAAACGTTTTCGAATCTTTTCGTCATTACTTTCACTTTGCAAATTAGAAGAACACGATCGAAGAGAAATACCGTTCTAAACAATAATCCATTAATTACCAATCGTTTCAATCGATTTTCTAACAAACCTTGTTCCATTACGATGTCCATCTTCATACACAGTAAATTGTTCGTCTGCAATAAATCGTCCATAATTGCGTAAACATCGATCGGATGGTAATTTTATATCACAAATTGTTTTTTCAATGTTCTTGATCACTTTCAAATTATCATGCGCACGCTTCGCTTCGTTTATATATTGATTTACATCCTAAACAAATAATCAAAATGCCTATTGATTGACAACTCGAGAAGTTCGTCGCGTACAGTCATTAGACTTTCTGCTTTTTCTAATAGTTGTCGTTTGACTTCACCGTTCGGATCAGTCGTTGGAACATTTTTTTTCATTGTCTAAATAGAATACAAAGCTTTTCAACAAGCACAAAAGAATAAACAAAATTTTTTTACATGTAAAAGTAATGAATATTTAACGATACGTTGAAATGGCAAAACAACAGTGTCACGCAATTGAAATTTACCAAGTTCGCCTGCTTTCTGTCGGCATTGCTAAAAGAAGCAATGAATGAAATGATGTCGCTCGCTAATTTCCTACTTACTTCAAGTTTCTGAGAAAAGCTTGCATCTTGTTTGATCTTTCGATCGAGAAATTCTTGTGCATCAGGTAACTCGGAACAATATTTTGCATAGATCAGAAATCGGTCCTGCCATTTAGTAAACAACTCGACGATTCGGGATGTTCGGCCCTTTTCATTTCGACCGGCACGACATAAATCTTCGTAGAATTCCGAATGCAAAGCATGTATGTCCTTTTCAAACAAGAATTTCCTACAATCTGTTCAATCAAAACAAATGAAATACTTACAGATATGTTTAAGAAGATCTTTTTGCGTTCTTCCGGCTTCAATTGCAATGGTTCGATGAAATGCTGAAACGACTCGAATAGAATCATCGTTTAGTACACAACAGATCTCAACATACCGTTACAATTTGATTCAAAGAATCGCGATAATTCAATTCCGTATCAAGTAACTCTTTGACACAATGATCACGTGGAAGAAATGCTTTGTGATGATCCTAAAGAAAATCCAATTTCATGTGTAACACGAAGAAATGCAGAATTCGATTAGTTAAACATAGGTGCAAATTAGTCAAATAAGCATTAAGCAAAGGAGAAGAAAGGAAAAAAAACTAACAGATTTCTTTGGTTTTTCGCATAATTGTTCATAAACATCATCAGCAATACTTATACGCGATCCATAAACACCAGCATCGCCATTTAGAATTGAAAATGGAAGTGATGATGTTGATAGACGATGTTTTATTAATGGTGAAAGTAATTCAACAGAATTATGATCTGTAATAGCAGCTGCTGACGAAAGTGTTGATGCTGCATTTGCAGCAACAAGTGATGAAGAAGAAAGTGATTCATTTATATTCGATGAACTTGTTGTTTTCATCAATGGCGAATTTTGTTTAGTTAATTGACTTGAATTTGTCGAATGAAACGATGGAACATGGTGAATACGTGCATAGCGACATGAGTGACACAAGGATGATTGACGTTGTAATTTCGCCGGTCTAACAAAGAAATCAGATAGGGTGCAGAGTAAGCAGCAAAAGCAAGTTGTGAACGAAGTTTAGCGTAGATTAAGCGAAAACAAAATGTGCATGAAGACTTCAACGAGCAAACCCAACAAGAAATGGTTAAATAAAAAACAAACAAAGCGTATAGCAGTACTTTTTCATCGTTTAGGACACCGACCCTTTTCTTCTCAATTAAACATCCATAGAGAATATTTTGTTCACTTGGAGCAACAACTGTTTCAGGCGATGCATAATACAATAGTGCTCGAGAATCATCATGATTATTCATCGAAAGACTGATGAATGAGAATTCAGATAATGATTTGCATCGAAGAATTGACTTACTCTTGGACGGGTAATGGTTCGTCAAGTGAGCGCATGATTGGCAAGATTCCGACATGATCTTCTTGGGGGATGTTGACATAATTCACTGGGCTAGTACTTGGAAATGGAGTTAGTTTTTTCTTTTTTGCAATCTCTAAACGAGATATCTTCGAGAGTGTTTCAATGATCTGAAAAAAAAAGATGGAATTCAGGTGATTGAGCTTTCGAAATTGTGATGATTTACTTTGTCAAGATCATATTTATCGAATAACATGTACGGATCGAAGAGATCACGATCACGAAAATGTAATTCCTGTCGACATGCATCCAAAAACAGTCGAATATTTTGCAAACATAAAAACTAAATATACTCAAATCATTAAACAATATTCATCTTTCGATTTTCCTGTCTTACTCGACTTTTTTGTGGTCGAAACGAAACATCCGTATATTTTATAATTCCTGGTACTATATAATTCAGTAAATTGCATAGAACAATTCCTAAAAAGAGAGAGAAAACAGAAGAATTTTGATGTTTTATTTCGTAAATCAAACCATCGGATAAGACATCTGCTAAATCTTCCACTGTACTCGTTGGAAGATTTAACAATCGATTAGCTTCAGGTGATAAAACATGACATTGATTAAGCCAGTGAAAAGCTTGACGCCACATGGGTTGGAAAGTTTTATTTGGATCGAATGGTGGGGGTAACGGTGATAAACTACTCATTTTTTTTTGTTTATTGACCTTTGATTACGCGCATCTTAGAAGAAGAAAAAACGAAAAACGTTAAGCAAACATTCTATCGCTTCTTTTCTCTACCATTTGTTCATTATCTGAACCAATAAAAACTCGCCATTGGACCTCTTCTTCTCTTCAAACAAAATGAATATAAAATTTATTTACATACACAACGGAAGAACATTTACATTCATGTACATGAGAAATTCATATTCGAGACACATTTTTCATTCGTTCATTTTACCTCTAGAGCTATTTGATTTGACTTCCGACGTTTTTGTTGATCATTACGTATCACATACGTAAGAAAAAAAATGCTTTTATCGTTATCATCGTTATTCTTATCACTTATTGTCTATCATTATTGTTATGACGATAAAACTCCTTTGCTCCAATGCTCTGCGCGTAAAGAATACGAAAGCGATTGCCTCGACAACAGGTAGTCGACACATCCTTACATCATCGTTTTTCAATTCAATTTTTTAGATTAAATTACGAAACTTTAACGACACATTCTTATAGAACAATGTCATACGGGACATGGTTATCACCGATAAGTTCGGCATTGATTGTTGAAAATACGATTACACCGTCGGAAGTTCGTCTGGATGAAAATGGTAATGCCTACTGGCTTGAACTTCGTCCGTCGGAAAGCGGTCGATATGTTATTTGCTCGAATAAACAACCGCTTCAGAAAGATATTCTCGAACAACCGTTCAACGCACGTACACGCGTTCATGAATATGGTGGTGGGTCTTATCTAGTTAAGGAAGATGTGGTTTATTTTTCGAATTTCGCTGACCAACGTCTTTATCAAATTAATACGAAAGAAAACAACGTACCAGTACCGATAACGGAACAATCCGAGAATGCGTCTTTACGCTACGCAGATTATACCGTGGATTCGTTTCGAAAACGTTTAGTCTGTGTTCATGAAGTTCATCAAGGTGAACATGATGTTCAGAATTCGATTGCCGGCGTGTCATTGAACGATTCATCCATCGTCACATTAGCTTCGGGTTACGATTTTTATTCTTCACCACGTATTAGTCCCGATGGACGATATCTAGTCTGGATTTGTTGGAATCATCCTAATATGCCATGGGACCAAACTGAATTATGGATTGGAGAATTTAGTAATGAAGACAATTCATCATTGATTAACAAAAAGAAATTATTTGGCCAAATAGACGAATCTATCTTGCAACCAGAATGGTCACCTGATGGAAAATTTATCTATTTTGTTAGCGATAAGAATAATTGGTGGAATATTTATCGAACAAGTGTCGATGGGCAAAATGTTGAACATGTTTATGACGACCAAGCAGAATTTGGCGGACCCTCGTGGGTATTCGCTGGAACTTATTATGGATTCGATTCCAATAGTAATTTGGTGAGCGTTTATTGGAAGAATGGCATTGCTAAACTATGTCGAATTGATGTTCAAACCAAGAAGTCAACACCTTTAACAGCAACTGAAGAATACACTGATATTCGATCAGTTCGAGTCAATAAACAAACTGTTTATTTCGTTGGTTCGTCTGCAGTAAAACCAGCTGAAGTGGTTGAATACAATTTTGAGACAAATACAAAAAATGTTTTATTTCGTTCAACGAATATCACGATCGATCCACGTTATTTATCTGTACCAGAAATGATTACTTTTAAAACAGGCAATGAAATTGCCTATGGTATTTATTATCCACCCAAAAACGACGATTATCCATTGCCGTCAAGTACAACTGAGCTTCCACCGTTACTTGTTCGCACCCATGGTGGTCCGACAGCAGCCACAACAAGTGCGTTCAATCTTCGAATACAATATTGGACATCACGTGGCTTTGCCTTACTCGATGTTAATTATCGAGGTTCGACTGGCTACGGACGGAAGTTTCGTGATAGTTTGAAAGATCATTGGGGAATCTACGATGTTCAGGACGCCATTGCGGGTGCAGAATATCTCGTTCAACAAAATAAAGCTGACAGAAATCGCTTAACTATCGATGGTGGTTCAGCTGGTGGATACACTACATTATGTGCATTGACAATGTACGATTTCTTCTCTGCTGGCGCATCCCATTATGGTGTTAGTGATTTAGAATTACTCGCCAAAGATACGCACAAATTCGAATCGCGTTATCTCGATCGGTTAGTCGGTGATTATCCGGCGCAACGAGATATTTACATTGAACGTTCGCCGATGACTCATGTGAAGAAGGTCTCAAAACCAATCATATTCTTTCAAGGTTCTGAAGACAAGATTGTTCTACCGAGTCAAGCGGAGATTATGGTGAATGCTTTACGTGAAAAACATCTTCCGGTTGCTTATGTTCTTTTTGACGGTGAACAACATGGCTTTCGAAAAGCTGAAAATATTCGACGTAGCTTAGACGGACAGTTTTACTTTTTCTCGCGAATATTCCATTTTCAAATGGCTGACCGTGTCGAGCCAATCGAAATTGAAAATCTTTCCGATGATTAACGAGTCTTCTTTTATTTCTTTTTAGATTTTTTTTCTTGTTTTGACTTTTTTCACCTACAAATATCGACATGTCTGGGTAATTTGAGATTTTCGAGAGAAATTTATTTTTAACTTTGCCTTTCTTAATAAAGTGATTATAAGAACCAACAATCACCTGATCGATCTCGTTCACGTTCGCGCAGTCCAAATCGTCTTTCACCTTCGCACAATAGTCGATCATCATCGAGAAATAACAACGGACATCATTTTCATGACCGAAGAAATAATCGATACCGATCAAATCATAACAATGGTAATGATTATCGTGGTGGAGGCGGTGGCGCAGATCGACTTGGTCAAACGGTGAATTTATATTCCGATCGCGAATTGGGATTAAAATATCGGTAGGAATCGATTTCATCGGATTGATTTTGGATCTTCTTTGTCCGGAATTTAGATGGGAAAAAACAGTTCATGTTTCGAACATTCCATATGACATGAGATGGACAGCTTTAAAAGATTTATTTCGTACAGAAGGTATGTTTTCATAAAGAATATGGCTCTATAGCATTGTATCTGTTTGATTCTAGTTGGGGAAGTGATGTATACGGAAGTTTTTGAACGAGATGGCAAATCACTTGGTTGCGGGTGAGATCGGGTGGATTTATTTTGGATTTAGAAATGAATGTTTGTGCAATTTAGATCTGTGGAATTTCGAACAGTTGAAGAAGCCAAACGCGCGGTGGAAAAGATGCATCAATTCGAATATGGCGGTCGAAAACTAGCTGTAAAATTAGTAAGAACACAGACGATATCTTTTGACCTAAATCATACACGATATTTCAATTTCATATTCCTAGGACGAAGAAGGTTTTCGTACTCGACGCGCCAAATATCAATCGCTCGAAGGTCGTCTTTCACAAAAGAACAATATGCTTCAACAACACAATAATCTTTCGAATCAATTCGGCAACGCTAGTGGAAATTCCGGCAATATGTCTCGTTCACCCGAAGTCGCAGGTAAGACTCTTTACTTCATTTGTAAAATTCGAAAATTCCGGATTCAATCATGGCATATGTAGGTCTCAATAGTATTGGCACATCATTATCGGGCTATTCATCAGTTGCTGGCATTCCAGCATATGTTCTACAAAGATTAGGTATCGATGGACCTGTTACAAATAAAATCTTTGTAGCGAATGTATGTTGTTTGATTTGAGTTAACAACTGATACGAAGAAAACTTTTCTATTTAGTTGGATTTCAAATGTGATGAAAAGAAAGTTCGAGAAGTCTTTTCCTTGGCCGGTCGCGTACGTGAAGTGACATTGAAACGAAATAAAGAAGGTCAAAGCCGTGGTATGGCTGTAGTTGAATACGAACATCCATTAGAAGCTGTGCAAGCTGTGTCGATGTTTAACGAACAACAACTATACGATCGAATTATGGCCGTGAAAATTGATTTGAAAGATGAAGGCAAAGATGATGGTCGTTCAATGAAATTGCCAAGTAAATATCAAAGATTCGTTTTATTTTTGCAGAGTTTATTGGTTTTCAATTTTTAGGCGGATTGAAGTCGATTGGTGTTGGTTTAGGCCTCGCTGGGAACCCACTACGAACAAATAGTAAGAAATTTGAATAAAAAACTTTTCACTTTTCACATACAATTCATTTGTTTAGACGTTAATCAACTTGAGCCACCTCTGCCGCAGATTAATCCCAATCCTATACAAAATGTTACACCGAATGTTTCTGGTAAGGACTATTTCTCTTAAAAAAATGGCAGAGAGTCTCTTTTCTATTTTAGATTATATTAATCATAATGACCTTACAGCTTTACAAGCACTTTCACAGTTATCACCCAGCGCAATCAGCGCTTTAACTCAATTAGCCACTAGTGGTTTTTCCGGATTGAATTCTCTTGCTGGTTTGTCACGCAATCGATTCGTATTCCTAATATTCAAACACTTTCTCTCTTTGTTTAGGACTTCAATCAGTTAATTCCAATTTAAATACCTCGTCTACATTGGGCATCGATCCCTATGCAAATACAAGTTTGTAATACTGATCTTCCACTCTGAAATATTTGATTGTCTAGTAGATTCTCTGTATGCATCGCTTGCTGGTGGTTACTCAAATTACCAACAATCGTCAGGTTTAACTGGTGCGTCTCAACTGTCATCTCAATTATCAGGTAATGTCGAAAACGGAGTTTGCTATCGTGTTGTTTTCAGTTTGATTGTTTTGAATCTAAATCTCGATTTGAATTCCTATCTATCCACATCCAGGCTCATTCTACAAAGATGACGATGCACGTTTGGGTCAATCAGCGCCTGTCGGAGTGTCAGCCGTGTCATCGGTTCGCACACAACCGAATACATCGTTTGCAGGTGGTCGAAATGTATTAGGCACAGGTGTCAGCGGTCTTGGTGGATCTCTAGGTCCTTATACCCAATCGAATACAAATACGCAACGTAGTGTTGGAGGCGTGCTTAGTAATTCCAATGTAAACGGTCCGAGTACCGGTGTTTACGATCGTTCACGAGGCCGATCACCGTATCGTTAAACTGCTTGGGAACATTTTTTGACGTAGTTCAGTTGTACTTGTTTCCACGATGAACAACTTTTGGATTGACAATTGATTTTTGATGTTGCTCTAGCTGATGACGTTGTTGATGGAAAAAATTCGATAAAGTCTATCGTGTATCATTGTATCTAGATTTCGTTTTTCTTCTTTTTTGTCTTTTCTTGCTGACTTTTTTTCAACCTTCATTTGCTTCTCGTTGTCATTCGTTCTCCTTTGTTATATATCACAATTCATCATGTTTCGTCGATGATCTCAAGCGATATCGAACAGAAACTAACAAATATACGTAAACCATGAGCAAATGTCTCCTATTTCGATATTGAACGAGTTCGATTGATTAAGAATGGAAAAATAGTTATGAAGGGAGACGGAAAATGCTGTGGTCGTAAGTCGATTTTGTTCTTTTGCTTTTATTTTCAGCTTGTTGAACGTTGCATCTCATTCAGATTTTTAGACCCTTGAAATCCAAGTGCTTGTTAATGGTAATTCAACTATTTTGTTCTATGAATAGATAATTTGTCTATGTCGATATGAAGGATCTCTTTGGTACTTTTTGAATTGCCTCGAAGGACGACTCAGTTGATTTGGTTTTTATTGTTGTTATTCAAGAAAGACAAGATGAACATTGCGCGATTTGATGAGATACATGATATTCTATTTGTACATTCGAAAAGAAATGTCTTTCTTTTTTTTGTTATTTTAGTTCGAAATCAACTTTGAAGTCGATCAATGAAGATATGCTCGTGTTTGTCAAGAAAAGCGAGATCGCGTTCAATTTGAATCAATTTCTCAGTTAACAATGCATGTTTCTTTCGGGATGAGATGCTTTCTAGACGCAAAGGTAAACGTTGATATTCAGTAAACACTTCTTGATGACGTTGTTTCAAACCTAAACATTTCAGAGTCATTAATCAATTAGATTTCGATGAAAATTACTCTCAATCAACGAAAAATGCTCTTCAGACGAGATCAATTGCATTGAATTTTCATTCGAATCACAACTCGGTGGTTGCTGACATGTTTTATATGCTCGAAGATACGATGGAATTCGACCGTAATTCTACATAAGGAAATTTTGAGAATAAACTGACAGATCAATGTGATTGTACAACTCTTTTATAAATAAATTCTTTTTGTAAACCACTACCATCAATTAGAAATTTGTTTCCTTTGCGATCTGAAACGATGTATCGACGGGAGCATTTCGGTAGTGAGTTTTTTATATGAATGATATTCTCTTGGACATGATCTTTCGACAATTTTGATTGTAATTTATTTGGTTTCGGAATCGGCGGCATTCGATGGGATCGAATGAATGGTTTAACTGTTCGTGCAGTCGAGCTTTCGAATGCTTATCAAAGTCAACTGATCTTACTTTCCGGTAATTGAATATAGTTTTGTCGTCGGCGAAGTGGTTGGCATGGATCGGGTTTTGGAATAACAGCTAAACCCATCGTTCGATGGGAATATTTATGTTTATTGTAATTGTGTACGACATCTGACGCAAAGGTCGATCGATAAATATGTCTAAAATATGATTTTTCTTGAGAATTAATCGGCTTTGAAAGGAATGTTGTACTTGGAAGGATCTGGTAATATTGATGGACATTGAGGTATTTGGTTGAGAAGATTGTAAACTGTTTCGTCCACACTATTCATTAGATTGAAATAACATACGCGGGAAAGTGAATTTCTAATCAGATGATCGAGATCAATGCAACTCGAATTGTTAATTATGATCAACGTTTAGAAACTTTCCTCAATTCTTTTCTAATTTTGTAACTGATAATCAACACAAATATCGTATCATTCAATAATTCTATTCTTTCTTTGCAGTGTGATTCTCAATTCTATTGCTTTACTGATTTTATTGAGCATCGGTTGTCTGATCACATGTATATGGTTCGTACCGATAAGCAAAACTAACTTCAACAGATCCTGTTTTCAGGTTTAATACGATACTCTGTTGTCGAGATTTGACTGGTATTATTGAAGATCGTCTCAATGAAATCGAAACTGATAATCATGTAAGTTAATCATAGTTTGGGTTGTGTATTTAGAGTTTGACTCAATAAGTGTGTCGTATGTTGAGAAAACAACAGCATATGTATCCGATAACATTTGCAAACTGACGCCGAATAATTTCCATTCTATTGACTATCAATATTGTTTTTTTTTCTTTCATCGAGATAAAAGACGACAATTCAACATTTATCCGTCCATCTTGAAAAAGAAAGTTCTACCGTACAAGATTTTTGAAATGACATGTTAATTGAAAAGTCAATTGCTGGCGCCATCTATCTTTCGAGAGGTTTGTTTTGATTCATAATGGATGAAATTCCATCTTCCCTTTTGCTGCACGTATGTGAACTCATAATAAACAAAAAAGCAGAACGTGTTCGTCAGTTGTAATTCATGCAAACATAGATGAAATCTTCATGCGAAAAGTTCAATTGTAGATGTTTATAAACTCATTGTCTTATTGTTCGTGCAATCCAATTGTTTTATGTCAATGACATCTACAACAAATTCCAGCAAACAGCGAAAACTAGCAGACTTACGTGTAGCTGATTTACAACGTGAATTACGCTTGTTTAATATATTTTATGATAAGAAAGAATTGAAAGGATCACTCCTGGAAAAATTACGGCAGGTAAAGTCTTATTAGTAGAGATTTTTGTTGTTTGTCTTTCTATCGGAATTTTCTAGGCTTTGATCGATCGTAATCTTGACCCAGAAAGTTACTCATTCGATACAATTAGTGATTTGAAATCAATGCCATCGGATGAAAACGGCTCATATGGACAAGAACCGTCCGCAATGGAGGTATGTTTCTTCATAAACACATAGCGAGAAGTGTAATATTTATGTTAATGAGATTCTTCTGTACGAAAAGAACAGTTTAGTTTTATTGATTGTCTTACGTCATTGTTGAATTGAGATTACGAGAAATATTGAATTACACATTCGTTTTCATTCTTTATTTTATTTAGACTAGCTCTGATCAAGCATTAAACATTGAAAATTCAGGTGAGAATCACAAGATCTTCTGCAATTTTGTTTTTGGCTATTTTTTTGAACAACTTAGTCACTTTCTAATTCTCCTTCTGTTTTCTCGATAATTTGACATTTTGTTCATCCTTATTCATCTCTACATATTCTACCTGCGTTCGATTCAACACAAAACTTATCTAAGAAAACTAGTTGATCGGAAAGCTCTTCTATTCTGGAAAACAGATTCATCTATATTTCTCTGTCGATGAGATAGGCAGAAATCTTGAAAAAAAAAGTAAATCCATATTGTTTCAAAGAGCAAATCCATTCAACAGCAGCGCCATCGACGACACTCGACACCAACGATGAGCAAATCAATCAAATGGATACAATCGATTTGAGACAAATTGTCGACGATCAACAAAATGAAAATATTTTTTCTTCAATTGATCAAACAACAACTAAACACGACGACGAATATAGTAATGATAACATCGATCATGGTCTTACGCAACCACTGTGTTCCTCATCAGATGAAGATCCATATATAAAAGATTCAGCCGATTCGTCGGACGCTACTCACACGAGAACTTCCATAACAGCAGCGCATGATCAACACATTTCGTCGGATTCAAATCATGGCGGAGATCATCAATTGACGACGTCATTGCCAACAACAAATCTCTCGACTGATAATGAGAACCTGTCAAAAAGGTAATCAATCGATTTCGTCTCTATTCTGAATACATTGAACAGATTTTGTGAATGTGTGTGTGTGTGTATGCGTGTTTTTGTTGACTTTTTTTGTACAACAAACCAACGGCAATGGCAACTATTCAATAACCAAAAATTTTGTTTTTGTCTACGAACCAACAACGATGGCCCAATCGAATCTGTTCTTCTATTCTCTATTTATTATTATTAATCATTTCGTTGCGCGAACAGATTTTTGTTTCTTTCGTTGAGGTTTTTTCTTTTCCAAAGAATACGATCTAACTTTCATTTTGTAATTATCAGTGAGAACAAACAACAAGGATCAACAGACGAACAACCGAAAAAAAGTAATCAATGTCATCTTTGGGTATCAAATATTGCCAAAGAAACTCATGCATCCGATTTGAAAGACTTATTTTCAAAACACGGAAAAGTAATAAACATTTCTTTCACGATTATTATATCTTTAGAGTTTTATACGATAGGTATTAACAACTAAAGTCATTGGATCCAGTTCGTCACAATGGTTTGGATACATTACTCTAGCGACACCGGATGATGTTGAAAAGTGTATTAATGCGTTGCATCAAACAGAATTACATGGAAAGAAAATCTATGTCGATCGAGTATGTATAAAGAACTGAATTGTCATGTCTCAGGAGGCGTGTTCATCAGAAAATAATTTTCTAAGAATTTGAAAGTCTACAATCGCTTTGAATTTTGTAGGAAATGCATGATCAACCAGAACGTTCTTCGTCATCATCGAAATCAAAGTCACACAGTGATTCTATTTCATCGAGTGCGCATAAGAGATCATCAGATCAGTCGAATCATAAGTCATCATCATCAACAACAGGTGATTCGTTTAAAAAACGCGATTCGAATACGAATAATCACAGTAAATCGGTCAATACTGATCACAATGTGTCATCAAAAAAACGGCCAGCGTCAACGTCGAACGATAATAAGAAGAAACTATCAACTCACGATGTGAAAAAATCCAATGAAAATAATATATCATCTCGAAAACCATTGGATTCCAATCCAAGAAGGACGTCGTCTAGTAGCAATAATAGTCAATCAAATAAACAACATGCGTCTCGGTCAGATGTTCCACGAACCAGCGAACGAATAGGTATGATAATTGATTCAAGATTGAAATTTGAATGTTAAAGAGAAGAATATTCGTACATCGACCAACAATTTGCCGTACATTTTAGAATCTTCTTATAAATCGTCCAGTGGCAATCGCTCAAATGAGAAATATCCCGATCGACCGGAGAGATCATCGTTAGATTCATCTAAAACGAAACCATCCTCATCATCAACTTCGCACCGTAGTCGTTCTAATGAAAAACGTTTAACTTCGACATCAACAAAACCCGATTATCATCATTCATTATCTGGTGATAAATCTAAACCACGCACAACATCTCACAGTACAACAAACAAATACGATAAATCGAAAGACTCATTTGTAAACAATTTTGAACTAAACTAACATGCGTGAACTAATCTTTTTATTTCACTTTCAGTCGAAAGACACTCATCGTTCAGCGTCATCCAATTCATATGATAGTGATCGTCGTTCAACACATCAAAATGAACAACGTTTGCGACATGAGAAAGAAATACTTGTACATAAACAACTTGTTCAACAACAGGAAGAAGAGAAAATCAAAGAGCAACAACGACGATTAGCCGAAGAACGTGAAAGAGTGCGAAGAGAGTTCGAATGTAAGTTCTTTTCGCCTTCATTCGAAGTCATTCATATGCTCTGTTCTTTTTTTTCTAGTTCTTGAACGTGAACGTTTAGAAATCGAACGAACGCGACTAGCCCTAGAAAAAGAAAAACAAGATCAAGCACGAGAACTCGATAAACAACAAAGACGCTTAGCTGATGAAGCTAAACATCGTCAACAGCAAGCAGAAGCGAAATTACGCGATGAAAAATTACATCGAATAGCTCATCATGATAATAAACATCCGCGTGATTCACAGCGTTCATCACATTATCAAAATTCAAACAATAATAACGATAATTCAAGTAAAGGATACGATCATCGATCGTCATCGAACACAAGTAACGAACGTGGACGGGATCGATCGCTTGGTGAAACAAATCGTGATTATTATTCCGAAGCCAAACGACCATACAGTAACAATATGAATAATCAACGTGAGACAATGTTGTAAGTGCCAGAATACGGAAAGCATCCTAGAAAAATAAACTCTTCTCCTGTCTTTTTGTTTTCTTTAGTCGCGATCGCGTTGCTGGTCGTGATTCAGATATTTCTTCGTCCAGTTCGAGTCTGGTTCTCAGTTCTCCATCAACAATTATTTCAAGTAATACAAACAATAATCCACGATATCTTCCTCCATCATCGCATCAAAATCGACCAGTCGATCCATACAATGCATTACCGCAGCGTGGTCGAGATATGGCTTTGCCACCGACATCGTCTGTTAGTACTGTTTATGAACGTTCTTCACGAAACAATGCTACATCACCGACTAATAACAGTGCACTTCTTCGACGGCCACATTCTCGAGAACGATTTGATGGTCGAGAATTCCTTCAACAAGCACAACGTCGTGATCGTTCGCCACCTCCAACTTCGACATTACGTCGTGAACCAATGGAAACTGCACATTGGGAACGGCCAAAAGCACGTGATAGCACGCATTATAGTGAGGGTAAACAAATACAGAAAATGATCGAGATGAACAATGTGTAGTGTCGTTATTTTAGATGCTCATAAATATTTATCTAATCAATATCTCTCCGATACATCGCCATCAATGCAACAACAGCAGCCGCAAGGCTTATGGTCAGCTGCGCCGCCATCTAGAGCGCAACATCATCATGGTGATCTATCTGTTAAAGGTGAGATGGTTTAGTCGGGTTGATCCTTTTAATTGAAAAATTTTTCAACTTTTTTAGCACCTGT